AAATTAATGGCCCAGAAAAGGAAAGAGTATCAATTTCCTGAGGTCTGAAAAATCATGTAGTGGACATCAGATCACCTTTTTGCTGTTCAAAGGAAATTGCCTTCATCATCAAGTCTTTCATCTGGGATGATGCTATGAAAACAGTCATCCTTAAAGGCAATAAATTGACATTAATTAAATTACACCCTGGTCACTGAAATAGTCCATTTCCTCTTCCTTATACATTGTGTGTTAATCTGCTAGGGGTGTTAACACTGCATCACTAATACAGTAGCTGCTGCTAAAACAAGCACTCTTTGTGATTTAATACAATAGAAAGTCATGTTTGCTTTAAGATTAGGAGATGTTTATGAAAGAATTCAGAAGTCAGAGAGATATACCTGGGAGCCCAGATGTTTACAATTCAAGGCAGAAACAGAACTTCAGAGACCTTGCAACATTCTTGATCTTTATCAGACTTGACAGTTAGTTTGTGAAATACCACGGAGGATCTAGCTAAGATGAGGCTTCTGGGCCTGAGCTTGTGTGTTCATCATTATTTAATAGTATAAGAAGTCTACACTTTACTAGGAGTAAGAGGAGCTGTCAAAATATTTGGTTTAGTGTGGATTTTTTTGTGTGCTAAATCTGTGTTATATTTTAATCTTGAACCGGCAGCTCCTGTACCTGAATTGAAAACTTGTTACAGTTGTTCAGCTCTTTGCTTGACTGCAAGGAGACAATCTCCTTCAGCCTGAGAGTTACGTTTTTTTGGTTACAGTCCTACTGTATTATTTAAGGCCTACATTTAAATCAAATTTAATTCTGTTTATATATAGATTCTTATGTAGTTGATATTCATATTTAGTATGTGCTTGTACAAAATATCACACTAAAATCTCATTCATGTGCTAAGGTATAGGTGAAAATTAGGTGTTTCCTTTGATTTAAGAAAAGGACATAAATTTAAGACCAAGAATGCAAAATAATTTCTTTACCTTGCCAGTAAGCTCCATTAACTGCCTCTATCTTAATGCAGTATAACTTGATATGTCACCAGGTGACTCCTGTTGTTAAAAGAGAAAAATGTTTTGGTCTTGTGAATTTGACAGCATTACAGTAGCAATGCAGTTGTAAACATCGCATGATATGATATTGTCAGTGTAAGGACAGATGTAATCTAACAACCCATACTCTGGTGCCCTGCTGTGACCACCTCTTTAACACAACAACAGACTGAGAAAATGTTCTTAGAACAGTGTTGTTCTTGTCTGTCCAATTCATGCTCTTACTTTGGTTCATCAATCTAGCTGTGATGTGCTCAGAAATTGATACAAATCTGTTAATATCTTTTGACCTATAAGAGACATACATTGTGACCAATACTAAAAAGGTCCATTTGTTTTCTGTGTGGTTGTATCCACACTATTAATTGCAGGGCGTTGGGCACTCTGTGGACCATCAGCTTAGTTGTTTTGGGCCGTGCGTGTAGCACATATGAAGATCACACACTACAGTTTTCGCAGCAGGAGCTCTGTCACAGGCATTTGAATGTGTTAGAGAGCATGTTGTCTGTCGTTGGTCTCTCCAGGCACACAGGGTAGGAAGGAGAATTAACAGCTCCAAGCAGGTGCTTCTGCAAGTTCTCTTGAAAACAGACTTGCCAAGTGGCACCTGTTACCGTGATTGTGCTGTCGGCTTCCTTGCACCTGGGACTTGTGTCCCTCGTCGTTCTCATGCCATTGTTATTTCCTTCAGGAATCGTGCTGTCAATGCGGACTAAAGTTAGAAACCCAGCGTGTTTGTCTTCCTGCAGCAGGGAGGGCCGTGATGCCAATTAGGCTGTAGCCTTTTGTGCTGCTCTTGATGAGGCATGTCCGGGTCAGCGAGCTCAGGGGCTGCAGCTTCGCACCCAGTGGAGAAGTCGGAGACCTGCATCCAGTACGACTTCTTATTCATCTGATTGAGCCACATCGAAAGTGTCAGATCGCGCTGCTTTCCATTTCAAGGTGCTGAGGCACTATGCTCAGGTTATAAGTGTGGAAAAACACAATCGGTTGTCGTCATTCGGGAAATGTTTTTTTGTTCGATTATGGCTGTGAAATTTAAGGAATTACTTGTAAGACTTCAGGGTAAGAAACACGACAATAAAGTATAATTATAATGTAAGAATAATTAATATTCATAATAATGTAAGAACACATGATATTATGAAAAAAACCTATTGTGTGTAAGTAATGCACAATGATATAAGACTGTATTTAAAAAAAACAGTAAATGCCTTTGGAAGATGCCTCAGTTTTTATTTCACTGAATGTTGAGTTTAAAGAAGCATTTAAGAATGTTTTTTGCAAATGTTTTATGCAGTTTCCATCAAATAATAATAAGTACTCTTCAATCAGAATTGGGCATTATTTGACACATTCACAATGCATTACAATGCAATGCAAGCTGCTTCATTCCACATTTAAATAAATCAAAGTCTAGACTTTGGGATTAACAATCAATTCAGAAAAATATAAGTAGAAAGAAAGTACTTTATAAAAAAACATTTAGAAGCACAATGTTCAGTTAAAGAAATAGATTGAGATTAATTGCAGGCTAAAAAAAAAGTATAGAGCAGTGATAGAAATGAATATAGCAAGGGAGGCTAGAATGAATTTTATTCAGTTCTTCAAAGCAAAGGTATAGCCAAGAATGAAATAAGCAATAAAATAAGAAAAAGATGAAAAGGAAATGGCTGATTTCGTCAGGGAAGAAATCTGAAACGTGTCTCATGCTGAGGAAGGACAAAGTTTTATATAAAATAATACCGAACAGAAGAGGCGGATGTGTTACAGCTACTGCAAGCACTCGAGATAAATCTCCGGAGCGTGATGGTAATTTCCCAATTGTACTTGGGGGAACAAGACATGTTATTAATTCCATTGGCTCTCAACACAGCTCATCCAGCGGTCACTCAGGACAGGGGTAACACTCCCTGACTGGAAAATTGCACGCCCACCCATTACAAGAATGTCACAACCGTGTGAGTGATTATAGACCAATGGTTCATTATTGTGTTACGCACCATTTTATAATGAAAAGTAAACCAGGTGATGGTTTGACCTCATTTAGAATAGTGTGTACAGGTTTGGTTACCAGGTTACACAAAAAGATATTGCTGCACAGGAGTCAGTCCAGAGAAGTGACCAGATTCTCTTCTCAGAGGACAGCATTGGAAACAACAGGAATGTATGTTTAAAAATGAAACCATGATGTAATTTTTATACAAAGGGTTGTGGGAGTATGGAACAAGCTGTTACCCTGGGTGCTGTCAAGAAATGTGTGGATCCTTAGACGAATTATCGACTAGCAACCTAACAAGGTAGATAGGACTAAATAGTCTCTCCTGTTTGCAACTTTTCAACACCAACAGTGGTAATAACTTTCTGTTATGCGAGACCCATGGATTTGGTTTTGTTTTTTATTCTTATCAACAGCGAAGCCGAAGAATAAAAATGTTTTTATCTCCTGGCTTAAACTTCTGCCTTCTCTGCATAAACGTGTTTAGTTTGTTTTTGAAATTCAGCCATGGAGTCGACAATTGAATTGTGTTTGTGGAGGCTTAGGGAAACAATAGCTTTAAAGGCAACTTCAGTGCTTGTGAATGGATGTGCAAGAAGGTGGGTGAGGGGTGGAATTAATTTTCCCAGAGTTTAAAAACTTCCTTCAGGAGGTAAAAGAAATAGACCTGGAAGTTTACATTTCTATTTTTTCCGCTTTCCTGCTATAGGTCTGCAGAGGAACCCCTAGCACAATCAAAGAAGGCCCTCAAGAAACAGCAGAAGGAAGCTGAGAAAGCTGCTAAGAAAGCGGACAAGCAGGCGAAGCTGGTCAGTGCGCAGGAGCCCCGTGCCCTGAGCAGCTGTGATGTGGCACTGGCACGTAAAGGAAAATGCCTCGTGTTTATTCCTAAAGGATGTTTATTGTTCCCCAATTCCTGTGCTTTCAGGCCTGCTTGTTTTTCAACACAGCCCAGCTTAGCTGAAAATGTAATATCGATATATGACACTTTGTTTTTGTCAGTGTTCTGAAACAATGTCTGTTTCTTTGTTGACCTGTTACAAGGGCCCTTCTTTACTACACTGTACATGATACAAGAGAATATAGTTGGTCATTTGGGCTGTGAGTAATGAAGTTCCCTTAATTTTTAAATGGCAACTTTGTATATCATGCCAAGTGTGTTACAGTCTATTCTGTCAGTGTTACCTTGGCAAGAGGTGACGTATTTAGGCAATTGAGAACACAGGCTAGTTGCAGTGAATATTTTGGACATAAAGATTTTATTTTTCCAGCTGGTCATAAGTTTTAAAAGTGTACAGCACAGTGCAAGATCTGTGTGAATGCAAGCAGTGGAGTTCACATTCATGGGCTGAAGCTAAAATTCAAACCCCCAGGGTAGGGCTTGGTAGGCACATCTTAGTTAAGCATCTTAAGATGTATAAGTAAACTTTGGCTTAATTACAAACCATTCAAAAACAAAGTAGCTCACTGCATGAAATGCGAATGCGTAATTGGTGCCGTTGTCATTGGCACTGTAAAGAGGAACTGAATAAAGAAAGACCATTGCCTCTTGCCGTTTGTTTTTAAAGACAAAGGCAAGAGGCAACAACCTCTTCCTTTTGTCTTTTATACTGCTGGTGCCGGCAGTCACAAGCATCCAGATAGCTGAACATCTTTACTGAAAGTGTTCCAAGGCTGTAAATGCAATGGAAATTATTTGAAATTATAGATTGAAGAGTCCCATGTTATGAGAGTTATATATTACCACATAAAAGAGAATTGTTTCTTGTGTACTTCCTGTAGTTATTTAGAAGCCCAAGGTTATTGAGAAATAAATAGTTTTGTACCGTTATTGTTTTAAATTTTAGATGTATTCTATCAGAGAAGCAGAAAATGTTGCTATTAAAGCTCTAAGATTTTATGGCTTGAGATGGATTTTGTGTTACAGTAGTTCTATGAACATGTAAAGGTGTAAAGTTCTTGGGCTGAAGATCAGGAGGTTCTGCTACTTCTATACTGCAGTTAACAGAGGGTCAAATTCTTTTTCCTGACATGGAATTAAATTGTGTTCAGGTTCATGGACAGTCAGGGTAGGTTTCGGTGATGAATCAGGAAATGTCTGCATTATTGGAACTTTAGACAGTTGCTGAAGAAAATCTGTAGTTCCATTTTTCATACTGAAAGTTAATAAGCGTTGCAAACTCATCACTGAATTGTATTTTCCTGACCTATTTTTTCTTTTAATTGTCCCCAGGCAGCAGAGCAGCAAACCACTGATGAGGAGGTAAGACCTGGTGATAAAGAGTCTTTTCAGAAAAAGATTTTGCATTAATAATAATAATAATAATAAACTTTATTTTATATAGCGCCTTTAAAGGTGGCTTCTCAAAGCGCTTTTCAGGATGACAAATTTCAGTTGACAGTTTCAGTTTTTTTTGGTGGGGGGGGGTTGGTATGCCAAATGTGGTGGAAATTCAGTAAAATTATTTTAGTACAATATCTCATGAATGAAGACGCTGTAGAAAGCAAGACAAACTATAACAAAAATGAGGAGGCAACTGACCTGTTGTGCTCATTTGGTTGCTAGTTGCTAACCTGATATTGAATAATTCTGAATATCAGTCTTCTAATGTACAAATTACCTGGTAAGGACTGTTCAGTTTTTTTTTTTTAAATATTGTGATTTGCAGTATTACGGTCAAAATGTTTTATTTTTTTAAAACACACCTGAAGATGGATCATTGTGTTCTTTTTTGTTTTTACTTTTAGACTTAATCTCGCCTTTTCCTTTTTCACTTAGTGCTGACAGGGGCTACTTTTTCATTTGAGCTTACTCTGAGTTTTTAGAACTTTTGTATAATTAGCAATCGTTCGATATGGCGCAGCTCCTCTCCCACTTCCCGAAGGAAAGCCCTTCTTGAGCGGCCCTGCCTGTTCAGTCAGACAGCAGGTCCTTCAGCTATCGGGGCTGAGGTTTCAGAAGGGCTTCCTGAGCACCTCTGATGGAGGAAATGTGAAAATCTGTCTATGTTTAGTGTCCTCCAGATATGTTCATACTCCCTAGTTCCTAAGATCACAGGAACACAATAGGAATTAAAGCGATCATTGAATAAGATGCAGATTGTATAATGTTATTAAATTGCACAGATCAAAGTTATAGTTGTCAAAAATAAGTACATTCCCCAAAACACAAATGTTACACTTTTTACAACTCGTAAGTATACTTTCAAGTAAAATCCAACAGAAAAAACAATCTACAATTGTAAGTCTTTGTAAGTGCAGTGCAATGGATATCTCTGGATCTATATAGAAGACTGTACATAAGTTTCCCGTTTTCCAAGGGTATCTAAGGAGGTAACACACAGAGGACGTTCAGTAGTAGCAGCATCATCATAGTTAAGGCCAGAGAGCTCTTTAAAGGTAGCAAGGAAACAGTCACTGATCTCTTAAAGTTAAGGGGATGGCTATAAAATAATCCACAAAAGGCAGAATCTTTCCACTCTAAATACTTTCAACTCTAATAAGGGTTTGGGATACAGAAGGAAAGCAAAGGGCCAGACTCAGAACCAGTTAAATAAAAGCTCTTCTGAAGGAGAAGGTTTTGAGTCTAGATTTGAAAGAGCTCAGGGAAGGTCTCTGATATCCTTAGGGATAGAGTTCCAGAGCTTTGGGGCGCTGCAGGAGAAGGCCCTGTCAGCCCTCAAGTGTACACGGTTTTGGGTATCGGATAGGAGACCAGAAATAGCATCAAATTAGAATAGAATTAGAACAAAGGTTGTGAGGTGGGAAGCAGGACGATAGTAGCCCAGAAGGATACTGAGATGCCAAGCCATGCAGAGTCTTATAGGTGAGCAGAAGGATTTTGAAGTCGTCTCAAAGGCAGGAGGAAGCCAGTGCGAAGACTCCAGGATAGGAGTAATGTGATCATTTTCACTAGACCTGGTCAGGATTCTGGCTGCTGAATTCTGAACATTCTAAAGTTTGTTCCGCAAGGATTTAGATACCCTAAATCCTAGGGCATTTAGGTTATCAATTTGAGAGAAAACGAAAATGTTATCTGGCTTTTTAGCAGCAGTTAACAACAACCTAGGATGTAGTCTGGTGATATTTCAGTGGTAGAAAAATGAAGTTTTTACAATGTGTTGCACATGTGAGTCAGATGTCAAGACTGAATCAAATATTACCCCCAAGATGTTCAATGTAAATTGAAATTGATCTTGTCTTGTATCTTTACACGCCGGCCTGTGAGACAAGTGGTTCAGAAGGTAACAAAAGCCAACATCAATACAAACTGACTCTCCCACTTCACGTCACCCACATGAATGTAGCAAGGTGGGGTTGCAAGGCACTGATATTGTGAGTGGGGTCTTCTGTGTTTTGCAGTTGTTTTCTATCTGCAGGTCCGTGAACTTGGCTAAGACAGGGATGATAGTGATATATCACATCACATATCAGGACATTTTGGCCAAACAGCTGATTCCCTCTCCTCAAGGAAGGTCAAGCTTGTCTGAAAATGGACGTTCCAGCATGACACGGTCCAAATAGACATAGAAATGGTTAACTGCAAAAAGTAAATGTTATCAACTAACCATCTCAGTCTCCAGACCTCAAACCAATAAAATAATTGTGGTTTGAAATCAAGGAGGCCATTTACAAATAGAGACCAAAGGGTGTGAAGGACTTGGAGCAGTGCAGCCTGGAGGAATGGTCAGAGAATCTTTCTCAGAGGTGCCAGAACCTTACAGCGCTCTCCAGGAGGAGTCTTTGTCGATCAGTTTAAACTGTTGTATAGCATCCTTCACAATAAGTTGTCGCAGAGCGTCTTGTCAGTGTAATTCATATCAGAGGAAGATTTACAAAATACTCATTACTTAAGTGTGAATTAATGTGACCCTCGTGCTTTCAGTATGACATTTATGTTTGCAGTGCTATTAAAACTGTAGTATAACATTTTGGAATTTTATCATCAGGACACATGATCTGAACAGAATATTTCTCTGTTTTATGATTTTTTAATAAATAATAGAGGTTGCAGTATATCACCACACATGTGTATAGATATTTTTAAACCTGAAGAATCTAATTATCAATTATGGGAATGAAGGATGCACACAATGTATAAAATCTTGAAAAACAAGCCTCTGCAGTACTCAGTGTTAATGTTTTTACTTGTGTGTGGTTTTAACTTTATTTTTCATCCATGCAGGACTTTGCGAAGGATCGGTATGGACTTTCTCCCATGCTCCAGTCACAGCAGAAACTGGGTTAGTAATTCATTACTTAAGCCTCAGATGTGTAGATTCTTACAATTAAGCTGCTTTCCAAAATACATTTTAATTTTGTTGCTGTCTGAAAAATATCAGTGCTAAACTGCTGTTAAGTGAATTCACAAATATTTCCAGTTTTGGGTATTTGTCTTGAGCTTAACAATAAGAACCCTTGACACACGTAAATCCTCTCATCAGTTCAATGATTTCTGTTTGTGAGCTGTCAGCATCTTCCATCTTGCAATTTTAAATGTTTGTATTCCATGGTTACGTGTAAAATCAGTTTCCTCAAAGCCTATTTGTAGCATGTGTTCACAAGGGGCTTTACTACATAGTTTAGCACCACAGATTGATGTGATGATTAAAAGTGTGATAGATTTCGACAGAATCCTGCTTCCTCTTCTGTCGTCCGTCTGTCTGTCTGCCTTTTAGCATAGATGCTAAAGAACAAAGTCTATTTTGTCACGCCTGTGCTCTCCAGCCTTGCACATCTGATCCTCTGATGGAGCCTGGAGTTGGCTGTGGGTGATGACGCATTAAACGAGAGTGGGATTAGTATTGATCAGTCTACATCAACAACAAAGCTTACCACGACTGAATACAAAGTGAATTTCAGGAAATGTAAAAACAGTGTTTGAAATGCATCTTACCACTCCACTTTGCAATGTGGTTTAGCACTGTAGTAAGCACTGCTACAGAGCCGCAATACAGTAAGATCTCAGTTGGACGTGTACCGCAGGAGGAGTTTCAGTAACTTTTGTAAGGTAGCACAGTTAGTCAGCTTGGGCTTTTTCCAGGAACCTCCTGATAGTCATCTTCCCTTTTTTTTCTATACCATGTAATATTAATTAGACCAGTATTCTTAAGCACTTTCTCACTAGACACTCTCTTTCAGGCGAAAAGAAACACAACATTGTGTACATTTCAACGTTGTGTTTCTTTTCTTCTCTTTTCAGCATGGAATCAACCTTTACTTTTTCCATTGCAGCCTATGCATGCTTGAACTCTTTCAGGCTAGCTTTTTTTTTAATTGTCAAAATGCAAGGTGGTGTCTTTTCTTCCCTCTTTGCCTCATTCTTTCATGTGTCTGTGATCCAGATCGAGTGCTGGTGCGTGTACAGGATCTCACACCCAAGAAGGCTGACCAGCTGGTGTGGGTGCGAGCCAGAATTCACACCAGCAGAGCCAAAGGTGAGGCACTCCCATTAACCCAACTGGGCAGGTCTAGCAGAATTCAGCTTTCCTGTGAGCTGTGGGTGTTTCTCTTCCAGAACAATAACACACATATCTATTGTGTTTTTTTTATTCAGTTTTTATGGATGGGATAGACTCATGCTAACCACATCCCCGATACAATGATTGTTGGTGAATTTCCTCCCCCTTCTGCACTCTCTGAATGCTTCAAGCAAGGCCACAAGGAGTATTCTCTCATCTAGGCAGACAACATCATAACTCTTGTGTTGCTAAACAGAATGACCTTTTGATGTGAAGAACTAGAGATATGGGAGTCCCTATTTTCAAGATCTATTTTTTCACAGTTCTGTCAGCTGAGGGGGAAATAAATTGTGAATTCCACTGTTTGGGGAGTTGCTGTCAGGGTATGTCTGCCTGGTTAGTGTTCATGTTATTGTTTTTAAGAAAAGACTTAGATTTAGGATGTCTGGCTTAACAACATAAGACTGAAGGATGGCAGGTCTGGTTGTATGAGGGCACAGGAAACGTTTTGCCAAGTAATTGAATTGGGTGATTTTAGATACGGTATGTGTGAAGTGCTTTTAGAATCGCTGATTAAAGGCACATGCATAAATATAATTTAAATACATAAAAAAGCCTTTTCTAAATCTAGTGAGATAGGCTGTGGTTTGTTTTAGGATTTCTTCTCTTTACTTGAGCTGACATACTGTATTATCATGGTGAGAGATTAGAAATCAGATTGCTTTCTTGAAAAAACATTAATATTGTTTTTAAAGATTTAATTAAATTGAAATACCTTGCCTGCAGGCTTGTTTTAATAATGGCTTTGGAGACCTGCTATATTATAATAGAAATAATTGTCGAGGGTCTTTGTAGCATCTTAAGGCTTCCATTCTGTAAGCCAGAAATAAAAGTAAAGATCACCTAGTACATATTAAAGTATTTACCTCTTTTTTTAATATTTTGGTGCCAATGTTTAATATATTTTTCTTTGTCCTGCTCACAATTCACAACAAAAGGGTGAAAATTGAATGAATTCACATGAACACAAAGAAAAGATAAAAACTTCACTCTGCAGAGGAAGTTAAAGCACAGTGTATTTCCTCTGCAGCTCAAGCGCCAAACCCTCACGTCAGTTTTTTTCAGCTGTTGCCCTTACTTGCTGCCGATAGTCTTTTATTTTTCTGTTTCTGCTACAGTCCTTGTATTGTGAGACAAAGTAAGCTTTCATACAAGGTAGTTATACTCTGGTGTAAATGTGTGTAGTAGGGCCTCATACTATAGGTTCACTCTTGCCTCTCTTGCGATTTAGTATTGCCAGATCGATGTTTTTCTCTCATCTTAAAAACAGACTGTCTAAATTAGAGGTGAGGACAGCCAAGTAAGCTCAGCTAAAAATACTGTTAGGACAAAAGGAAGGATTTTATCTCTCAGGATGGCTTCCTTCCAGCACCACTTCTATTTCAAAGGTTTTCAATGCTCATTTGTACATTTGCTGATTAAGGTTTAAAAAATCTTTGAGGGTGAATAACACATCCTGGTTTACACTTAAATGAAGCAGTTTGTGCTGTTGATCTGCAACCCCTGGCTTTGTAGCGCCAAGCAGATCGTCAGTCTTTGGATTAGCATTGACAGGCTGCAGGAATTTCTGTGATGAAGGCTTAGAGCCCGACACACACATGTGGTAGCTAATGGTGTTGCACAGAAGGCACCAGCTCTCTGGTCAGCACTTGTTTGGTGTTAACAGAAAACAGTTACTCCATTGCCCCACCTAAAAAATCAATGTCAAAGTGACAAAGCTCTATAGATTTAATTTTCTATGTTCATGTTAGAAAGCGCCTTTGCTTACTAAATTTAGTGTATTATGTGCATGTTTTTTTTCGGGACATTAAATAACATTATACAAAAGGTAATGTGTGTATATATATCCTAATTTACTGACCTACAAGATGCTGTTTATTATATGTATTTGGTTTGGATATTTATCTGATAACCAGCACACAGAGCACCTCAGTGGGGACAAACTTGTCTTTTCATGAGGCATCATGGAGGTAATAATAAGGGCTTTATGTTGAAAATTTATATTTTTACCACATCTGTCCTTTCTAATTTAATGCATGTGATTTTTTCACATTTAATTGAAGCTTGAAGAAGGTATCAATAAGAATCATGTACCTCTGACAAGCCTGATTCTGGTAGCAAGTGCAGAAAGCGCTCCAGGTCGGGGAATGTCTTGGTGTCATGAGGGTGTGGAGGGAAAGGTGCTTTGTTTCTGCCACGTACTGTGGCTGCAGGTGGAGCTGAGCAAGGAGAGGTTGCCTGACAGCTGCGACGTGTCTGCCGATGTTTTTCAGGAAAGCAGTGTTTCTTGGTTCTGCGTCAGCAGCAGTTCAACGTGCAGGCCCTGGTGGCGGTGGGAGACTGTACAAGCAAGCAGATGGTAAAGTTCGCTGCCAAGTGAGTAAGACGCTGCGTCCTGTTGTCCCAGTAAACAATGGTGGGAAACACAGACTTCTGCTGGTTAGAACCCATTTTCACACATAGAGATTCATACACACAGGCGAGTTCATCTTTCCTGCAGCACAGAGCAGTGAAGTGTTGCAGACTTTTGCTTAAGATAACCTGCAAATGAGTCAGAAGGGGTGCATGCAGGAAGATGTTTAATCAGTAATTAGTTTTTCACACTAATGAGCTTTCAGACTCATTCAGGTATACATCTGCAAGGGAGAAAAATGATATGGCCCCTGGAGTTCTCATGTTGTCTATATTAATCTTAATTAGAGAGTAGTTTATAAACATTATGACTTTCTTCATAACTTCAGTATTTTTTTAGTAATTTTCAAGGTATTTAATTTTCACTATAAACACATTAAACTAATGTGACAGAGCAGGCAAACTGAGACTCTAAAAGCTAGATTTGTAGCATTAGCTACAACATTTACCATAATCTGAAGTCATTTATACTTTTGCAATATTTGCCAGATTTCACGCATGTCCTGTGCATTATAATCTCAGCTGGTTCAGCGGTCAGCTTGCTTTGTATTTGGCAGTTTCCAGGGTTGGTGTTCCATGTACGAAGGCTGGTGGGTGTGTGGAGCAGGCTGCCAGCCATGTGCTGACTCTAATGCACATATTTCCAGTAGAGGGTAGATGAGAGTCTCGGGTCAATTAACTGCTTGTAACCAAGTGAACAAGACTGGTCAGATGGCCTCCTCTCTTTTGTAACCTTTCCTGAGTTAGACTCTTGTGTCCTTAGAATAACCTCTGTCAAGTTTAAACTTGAAAATGAAGTATAGTTTCCATTGCTGATATGAAGTGTTTATGTGGGAGACAACATTACTTTTCCATGGAGTAATAATTTTTTTATGATTCAATTTTATGAACAAATTCTAAAATGTTTTAGCAATTTGATGCATTGTGCTTTGACATTATATTGCTTGGTAGAATATTTTTACATGAATAACTAGTTTCATTGTTTTTGCTGTGCACACATGTTTCCACACTCTGTCTGAGCCCATTCTTTACTGTCATTTCAAAATTGTTATTTCTTAGCACTAGAACAGAATAAGTCCTCAGTGGTGCAGATGGGTTACGAATAAATTAAAACCGTTCAGCCTGTAAGGATCTCTGAGTCAGGGGCTGGGGGCTGCTCTGTTTCTTTGACTGTCCTTTATGACAATAGACACACAGAGGACTCAGCAGACACGGAGGATAATAGCCAGGCCTGTGCGTGTCATAGTTAACACGATAGTTAACTCCTTTTATGTAGCAGTAACCTTCTAGTATGTTGAAATGGGAGTTTACTTATTTTTTTTTCTTTTCATAGGATTTCTTCACATGAGAACTTTACTGTGAACACTTTAATGTGGTAGAAGATAAAGTTTAAAAATGATAAAAGTGCTGTCAGTTGTAATGCTGTCAGCAGCCCGCAGCTATAATTATGATGTTCTCCGGTAGGGTCTGCAAAACCTGTGATTCTTTCATCTGTGCTGTTGGAGCCCTGATATACCTCTCTGCACTTTCTCTACAGCAAGCTAGTGAAGACGCTTTTGTCAAGTGCCATCCTTAGGACTGTAAAACTGGCGTCCACGGGATGGGAAATGAAGTTCTCTGTAAAAGTTACAACTTTTATACATAATTGTTCTGGTATAGTATTAGAGAATTAAATAATCTCATTGTTCCATTATGCAACCTATTTTTTAGATGAATTATAGTGTAAAATTATGTATTTAAGCAGGGATTTTAGTTAAATGCATATTGCATTATTAATAATGGGTTTCTAAATGATGAGGTAACATTTTTGTAGAAGTTGAAGTGGCATAATACTGTAAACAGATGTGTTCTCCTTTTGTGATCTTGCAAAACTTCTTGTGGTCAAACTGACAGTTGGGTTTCTTGCACGCAACCTTCTGATTTCCATGGCAGAATGAGGTATGAAATATGAAGAAACTGGCTTCTTGCAAGTTTGGAGATGTTTGTCAAAAACTGGGAATCTGGCGAAAAAAGTATGTACTCTGACATTAAATCAGATGGTTTCAGGCAAGTTGTGACTTACAATTCGATTTTCTCTGGAGATAAATAGATAATTTCACAAGAGAAAATGCTGCATTAAACTCTTTTAAGAAACTGATGTCACATTTAATCTCCCAGATAGTGTTTTAACTTGTCCATGAATGACTAGTGTTGTAAATATAAAACATGAATGTCCTTCAGGTACCTTTCTTTTTAGAGAACTTTATCTTGCTGATCGAAGTTTAGTGACCTTCACTAAGAAGGCCTGGCTGTACGACACGTCCCTCAGCCCTCAGTGACTTGTCATATTGAGAGCGTCAAGCCTAAAATTCTTGGTAAGGTCTCTGTTTTAAGTTACAGAGATTGCTTTTATGCTTTTTTTATTGCTTTTTTCCAGGCAGATTCAAATCTGCCTTTTCTTTCTTGAAATGAACTTATCAAGTGGAGTTCGAATGTTCATTTGGGTTTCTTCCCGCAGTCCAGAGACATGCTGATAAGTTAATTCTGTAAACTTGGCCCTGGTGTGAGTGTCTGCCATGGATTAGCGTCCTGTCCAAGGAGGACCATGTGTTGCCCCTGTTGGTTGCCAGATTAGACTGTGGCTCCCCCCTACAACCCTGTACTGGATAAAGAGATTTAGGAAATGGATGGATGGAAAATAGGAAGTGTCAGAGCTTTTGATTCTTATCCTAGTTCCTTGCCTACGTGAAGCATGGCTTGAGTCAAGAGTGAAATCAGGAATGAAACTGCATGTGACTTGGAGGATTCTGGCCTATAGGTCACCCTGTAGTAGAACTGAAACTGGTCAGAATAACTGTAGTGAATATTCATGGTGTACAGAAAATGTGTTATTCCCCACTGGAAATGTCAGTCTCTGCAACCGTGGTCAATAAAAAACCTAACTCAATTTAATAATGTTCCTTTTTTATTTACTAATTGCAGAGTTTTAGATATAAACAAAATTACATCTCTTCAGGTTGTTCGACTGTGCAATAACAAGTCTTGCACTAGTTCAATTGTGGTAGTGTTTATTCTTCTCTAAAATCCTGTATGGTTATCTTAGATTTATTTGCGTATTTTAATCCCATTTACCAGATATGTTTACATTCTACAACAGCTTGGATATGTGACTGCTTTGATACCTGGTTCCCTATTAGTCCTTGTTTGATGAGAACAGTTTAAGGATTATTGTAGGATCTGCCATTTCATTTAGTAATGGAATTAAGATACTTGTAAAAAATCTGAGCAGCATTAACTTTCAGTGGACATTCATTCTTCCTTATTGGATGCTGGAGCACGTTTGTTTGTTCTGGTTTTCATAGAATTAATGAAGTCAGATCTAACTGATTGCATTAAATTACAATGTTTAGTCTTGTTTTCTCTAATAGTGAAAGTAAGAGGGAATATATATTTAGAAATGGTGAAAGTTTGTGGTATGTCTGTGTAATCATACATCATTTATACAGCAGACCAAATGAGGAACCTAAGGAATCATTAAAAAACATTGTAAGCGTGTTCCTCTTACACAATATTGCAGCCACAAATTATGAAAATAGTGACTTTATATTAATTTAGTAGTAGTAGTCTTGTAGTAGTTTCCTGTTCAAGCACCGTTCATGTGTTCCTGAAGCACTTTAGTTTCTTGTTTTTGTGGAGCTCTTTCTATTTCAAAGGTTCCCAAAGCATTTAATCTGTATGATTGGACTCACTTCAGCCACCAATTAAGTTTACCCTCAATTCACAAATAGAGTGACTAATTGAAAAATTGCTTAAGCTGTTGAATTATAGGGGATATAAGGAGGCCGGATGTGCAAGCCCAGGGTGGGATTGAGGGCCATCACTCTCATGGACTCTCATGCCATGGTCACTCTAACAGTCTAGTCATCTGGACTTTGCTTTAACATCTCATCCTAAGGAAGAACGTCGCCACCCTGTCGTCCAGCACCTCTGATGGCAGAACTCTGATTTCCTTGGAGATCTGTGTTGATTTGTTTTATAGGAACAAGTAAGGTTTAATTCCTCGCTGAAAAATAGAAAGGAGAAATGCAACATTTTGTCTGACTTCTTCAGGTGTGGTTTATTTTAGATGTGTTATACTTGTCAAGAAAATGATTTTTTTTAGGAATCCTAAAATTATTTTTCAGTTGCGTTTGAAGGGACTGCAACCATACACTAAACTTTTCATGGACTGACTTCATTAATAATTGATAAGAGAGCAGTACTAAACATTACAGTAGCATTATGGTTAGTTTACACATTAATGCCTATGACTCCTGCAACAACTTCTGCTTTGACTGGCCCTTCTGCTTGCAAAGTAGAAGATATTTTGGAGAATTGGGAGTCAGGTTCAATTAAGGTCAGTGTTAGTCTGTACTCTATTTGTATATCTGTCATAATATGTTTACATATCGTGCATTGCAGGAGTTACTGTTGTTATTGTGTTAACTGCAATAATAAACACCAAGAACACTTTGTTGTAGAAGCAAATCCTCAGAGGGAGGTTGCACAAGACAGGCTAGGTGCAATTTGCAGGGCTTCACTTCAAAAACAACAACAAAAAAGAAATGGTCACATTTGCATAACACTATGACAAGAAATACAGAACCTTCTAGCTTGGAGATTATTTCACTGATTAGGTGTTCAACTGATTAAAGGATAAAACTTTCTTAGTTGTAGGTTCCTGGTTCAAACCTCTGCACAGCCACTGAATGTCTGCATGCCAAACACACTAAAGCTACTTGTATTGACCTCAAGTCAACCTTTCATCTATAATTGGTAAAGTTTACCACTTAGTTCCTCTAATTTGGTTTGGGCAAAAGGTTTGGTTTACTAGTGGTAAATGAAATGAACAATCTGTCTCAGATAAAAGAAAATGACTGTATCAGTATCAGCTGATACTGTTCTGTCCTCTGAGACTCAGGGAAGTCAGGCACAGCAGAGATGTGTATATTGCTGTGGCACTAGTGTGTTTGTGATAGGGAAGCTGTTTTCATAGATCATGCTCATGAGTGTGTGTGGAGGGTTGTCAGAGCACAGGAGACTCCCAGCCTTGAAGAAGCTTGGAGCGAGGTATCTCCAGCTTTGCCATGCCTTGCTTGCCTGGCAGCTTTTCTGGTGTGTATTATTTCGGACTGTTAGATTGTTGTTTGAGTACCAGCCTCAGTAGTCTTCATACATCCACACTTTCACCCAAACGAAGTTCTGAGAGAAATATCCGCTTTGGAACTGTAGGAATGTAGCTGGTCACCCATCACTGTAAAAAGACCATAAATCTTTGAGGTTAATTTCTTTCTTTCATAATGGCCACTTTGTTATGCCAACCGCAAGAAACAAGCTCCAGTCGGATGGCCATCTTGCTAGCATGTGCCTTTTCCATTCATTTTCTGGCTGCTAATCCCTCTCCTTCTTTTGTTGCCACAGCATCAGTAAGGAGAGCATTGTGGATGTGGAGGGAGTTGTAAGGAATGTGGATCAGAAGATTGAGAGTTGCTCCCAGCAGGATGTTGAGCTGCACCTACAGAGAGTAAGCTCGACGAAACAGGGTCGCCAGTCTACCGACCTAGATGGGCTGAAAAGTCACCTCTCATCAACCTTTCTTATGTCCTTTAATCTTATCATGATAAGTCAAAACAACTTCACCACAATTCTTCTTGTTTTTTATAAGAATTTAATTCTTGCTAATATGTTTTATGAGGCTGTTTATGCGTATGCTCTAATTGTAGAGTAATGTTTGAGATGTTTAAGATAAATGGCAGTAAATGAGCGTTACAGTTTAACTTAAACCACTGCCATCTCCCAGGAGGAATACAAGCACCAGGGACAATTTCTAGCACACCCAAACTTTTAAGATTTTTTTTGCTTTATAATTGCTTAAGCAAAACCTAAAAAAAGTGGTTATCTAAGTGTGTGTAAGAGACGTTATGTTTTTATGGTACCCATGCAAAAACCTCAGTTTCGCTCTCAGTCAGAGAGGCATTGTGTTGGCTGTATCTGGTACCCGGCTCACTCGTGCCTATTTTGACACTTTCTCGCTTTCAGATCTTTGTGATCAGCCAAGCTGAGCCGCGCCTCCCCCTTCAGCTGGAGGACGCAGTGCGCCCCGAGGTCGAGGGCGATGAGGTGAGGGGTCGGCCAGGCGTGGAGCACCATGTACCCACGTCCTGCAATAAGATTCCAGGGTCGTGCTGAGGGACGTGTCATCGCTAAGGATTTCTCCTTCTACCAGCAGCGGGCTCAGTCCCTCGCACATCCATTATAGGACCTTTCATGTCTTGTAATATTTTTCTTTAGAACACCATTCAACCAGGACACTGAAACAGTTTAGAATCAGCACTGTTAATAATAACCTATAAAAAGAATACGTTCACCCTACTCTATGAAACAATATGATATACCTCATAAAAACTGACTATATATTTCCCTGAAACAGTTGCAGATTTGTTGAGCAAATTAAAATAATGAATAAACAGTTGTGAAACAGTCTCACGATCCTCCCAGATGTTTGCTGCAAGGATGTTTCCTGTGTTTCAGTTGCAACACGTGCAGGTGGAGAAAACTGCATTGGTGAACCGGGCCTCAGTAAACACAGACAGTCCCAGTTTATGTCTGTGCAGGGGGGTCACGTTGTTCAGCATTTGGCGAGACTGAGTTTCCCTGAATAGAAACAGGCTTGAATGTTTGCCATTTTTTTTAATAATATATTGACACCAAGTAATAATTACCAAGAGTATACTATTTCATGAGTTATGTTTGTTCAATATTGAGCATGATCTCTCACTTCATATGTATTATGTAGTATTGCTGAAGACGGCCTTTTATGTTGATCAATACTGTAATAAAATGGATTATTTGGTAAAGTACCACGGAGATCAGTGCACTGAGCAATGCAGCTCACTTGAAGAATGACCCTGTACCGTTGTAGGCAAAACTGAACATGATAAATTACCTGTAATAACAGACAGATCACTACTGTGCATTACACAGAAAAGACGTTAAAGCTTCAAACACCTTAAATTTCAGACACATTTTAATTATGATAAACCCTCATGTTCCTTTCAATAAAGGCTTATTTGAAAGTGAACTTTTCATTCAGTGCACCTCAAACAACTACCTAAATTAAAATGGAAGGGAGTTGCAGGTTTGAGGTGCACTGAATGAAAAGGTCTATTAACCCAAACCAGTTGATGTAGCAAAGCTTCTGGCTTGATTCAGTTTTGGGGAGAAGCTGAATCCTGCCGTGACTGTGCATCCAATAATAGAAACAATTATTGATTAAAGATTTAAATAAAACGGCCAAGTACGTATACCAACTAAATGTTCACCCTGTTTTCCCAAACTGCAGTGGATCTATTTCTATATCACGTTATTCTGTTTGGTAATTAAAATCTATTTATTCTAAAGTTAAGTTGCTATTGTGCAACTGTGTGGTAAACAACTGACCCATGTTCCAATATGGACCACAAAGTCCTGAGAGCAGTAGAATTAAAAGTGAACTTCTTTATTCTGTTAGACAGTGGTATCAACTAAAACTCTCAAGTTACAGGCCTCTTTTGTATGCTGGATTGCATATGAAATAATGTTGAGACATGTGTTTTGTTTCCTTGAGTGGTTACATTTAGTATAGCTTATACTGGAAAGATTAAGCAGCAATGTTTTATTTTCTGCTTTGTTTACTGTCAACTCTTTAATCTACGCAGGAAGGAAGAGCCACTGTCAATCAAGACACCAGGTTGGACAATAGGGTTATAGATCTCAGGGTAAGTCTCTTCCGCTTTCTGTCTTTTTTTTGTCTAGGCCTTCCTTGCCTTTCAGAAGCTGAGGTGGGTACATCCTAGGTACTGTTAACAAACAGCAGACAGTACAAACAGTAGGACAGATCTGAAAGGTATGTTCAGGCTATACAGGTGATATCCCAAATTAACTTTAACAACCACAGTACATCCCTTGGATGCCTAAATAGTTAGTTAGATTGAAAAGGATTTTAAAATGCATGCACATGAAAAGGAAGTGATTGGGTTCAGATCACGTCTGCATGTCATGGAAGGCCTAAGCCGGCACTGTATAAAATACTCATTGTTCAGCAGTTCCTAATTCCTACTGTAGGACCAGGAAAACAACAGGTTTGCTGTCAGAAATCTGTGTCTTTGTTGTGACACCTGTTTTTAAACAATGTCTCAGCTGAAGCTTAAACTAGTTCAACCATGACCATTGGGCCTGTTGCTCAGTTTCATTCCAGCAGCAGAGTGCTAATGCGAGGATCTCATCCAGCTGTTTCTTGAAAGAAGCATCACTGACAGAGATCCTAATTGCAGTTTCCCACAGCCGTTTGTGTAAAGAAATGCCTCTTGTTCCCAGTTTTTATGCCATTTCCCAATAGTTTCCATTTGTGCCCTGTGGTTCATGTTTCACTTTTGATTTGGAAGAGGACAGTTGGGTTAAGTCAGTCAATACTTTTGAGAATTTTGAATGCTTGAATCAGATTCTGTCATGGTCTTCTCTGTTCAAAGCTTAATAAATTCAGTCCTTTGGTCTGTCAGTGTAACACAGGCTTAAAAGACATTTTTTGTTTAAATATATTCTGAAATTAATAAATGTTTTTACAAGCATGTGCAATCTCATACAGCAGAATTAACATTTCCACAGAGATCAATTTTGCAATTGGGAGAAAAAAAGCTTAATATTAAAAATCATAGCACTCAGACGTCAGTGTTAACTACATGAATAATGCAGCTGCAATCCTTTCTGGATGTAGGTCCGATGAGCTGAAAGGGTGGAAGCAACGATTTTGTGTGAAACTTGTTTATTAACTTGGGTACCGAAAGGGTTACATTGCTTTCACTGCACTGAAAAATACATTTAACCAGAACTGCATGGCTTAGTGACCCTTCTTTATTGATCCCATCAGTTTGTTTTTTGTTATAAAATGTAACTCACGAAATGTGTATAAACTCTCTTGTATTCCAAGTGCTAAGAGAGCTGAGGACTTGGTCTCCTGTCTCAGTGCTGTACAGAGTAGGAGGCCTTCAGTTTTTCATGTCAGCATGTTCCTGTCTTGAGGCTTCTGCAGTTGAAAGAAGGTTTTTAGGTATAAGTACCCCTTTATCATCATAATAAGTTCTCTTTTTTTGAAAGGTGTTAAAATTCAAATCAGCACTTCAGCTTCTTCTAAGAGGTTTGAGGTTACTTTGTTTTTTAAAGGAACCCTAATAGTTCAGGCAATAGGCAAAAGAATGAGATATTAACATACAATTATCAGCTTTTACTTTGTTGTATTCATCTGTGTGGTTAGAATTGAGTATGCATGGAGACGTTTTCTGTAGTAAGTCAATTGATCTAATGCTGATAAAGAGAAAGTTAACTCCTGACACAGGAAATGTGTAGGAATTGGGAAGCAAGTATGGTGTTGCATCAATTACTGCTAGCTCATACATATTTTTTGCTATATATCTTTGAGAAATATGTTTTTCTCTGATTCTCAAACTAATTTTTTGTATGAAGTTCACCTCTTTATTGTTAAAGTGGGCATTCTAATGAGTTCAGTATTTATGTATACTGTGTGACACTGTGGCTTTCTCCATTTTAAACACAAACAGAATCCTGACCTTTCAGAATGAACTAGTAGAAACTCACAGGTTTCTTGGATGCCCTTTGGTTTGCTCGTTGTGTCTGCAGCGAAAGTTATGATTTTGTGACGTGGAACCAAGTGACAAAACCACAGTTTATCAAATGATGGTATGGTTAAAAACAGAAGTAAACAGACTGACATTGACGCAAATCACACACGCTATATGTTCCTCAGAATGCAGCAAAACATAAAAAATGTTCAGATCTGACTTTGTCAGATCTTTGCGTGTGGGGAAATTTTACCTTGTGGCCTAGTACCAGGCACGAACCTTGACAGTTGACTCCTTACAGTGAGTGACAAACCCATTGAAAAGCTTTTGGATAGCTATGTGGTAATTTCTTTCAAATGTCTTATTGTTCCAAATAAGTGTGATTTTGCAACACATTTACAGTTCATTATAGTAGAAACCTACAATTATATTTGTCCTGGCCACTGAATTGTGTGCAAGTTACTTTTATGGTTTAATTTAAGACATGAGTAGAACTCCTTCATTGTTCTAAAACAACTGAAGTTGTTAAAGTTGTTTTCCCTAACGATTGTATAACAAAAGAACAGGGTCTGAGTATTATCATTTTTTGAAATGGGATTTAAAAATACGAGTACCCCTTCTTTAAAGCCTTCTTCTTTCAAGTACCATTATAGCTTACTGTTTACAGTTATAGATTTTAAGACTTAAATCTTATTTTTTCTTATGTCTGGAAAATTCTCCTACATTATGGGGTATGAACAAATACGGAGTGAACCCTGTTAGATTTGCAGGCATTACCACTCAGATCTCAGCAGGATATTTTGTTTTGTCTCCTTAACACTTTGATGTTTACTGTACTTAGCTGCACAGTTCAAGTGCCTATTGCTGAGACTCAGAAATACTGACAGCTATATAAGAGCAGGTTAAGTCTCCTTATATATTGTCTTTCCAAAATGTATTCAGACGTGTACATAAAACTAAGCACTTTAAATAAATAATAAATAAATGGAAATTAATATTGGACATCATTCTGAGCAACTATCAAAGATGTGTCTCCCAGTGTGCTTTTATGTATCTGTATTTTGTACAATAGTTTCATCAGAACATCCAAGTGATCTCTCTCAATAGAAAAAATCAAGTCATCCTGTGTAGCTGCACATCCTCACAAAGCAACATGAACCATCTGATCTGATTCTGCTATATGGATTTCAGTGCATTTTAATCCGCTTCCTTTAGCTCGGTTGGCCCAGACCTGAATAACAAACTGCAATTTAGTTTAACAGTATTCTGAGTATACATTGTTAGACTTTAAAATATTTTCTGGCAGAACTATTAACTTCTAACAATAAGCCATATACACACTGAAGATACAGATTATGCATTGAACTGAGATGAAAAGTGTCTAATATAAAGATATTATCCATTTTAATGTGTTTTTCAAACAATTCATTGTGCTTTATGTTCCACATTTTACTTTTTAACTTTGTTCCTATATAGTATATTATCTCCTACCTTTTTGTATGAAAAAAAACAATGTGGCTTTAGTTTTTTAACTTCGGCAGTGAGATTTTTTTTACAGCCACGTGTCTCTTTAAGTAAGTATGAATCCTGCTTAAGCATGTCTGCAGTTAGCTTTTCTTACATTTGAACAGGGGCTGCTGTATACGATTTCCAGTGGCGTTCCACACAGTACAATCTGTTTCAATGAGGTGCCTTAGCAGCACTCCAGGGAATGAGATTCAAATCTTCAGTCAGTCTGTCTGAATAGGAATGTATGTTTCAGAGACAAATGCAAAAGATAGTAGGGCTTAAAATCTCCATCTCCTGGGCAGAGGAGAAAGGCTGGAGAAGATGCGTCATGAAATACTGGACCACATTATAAGGAATGAGATGCGAAATGGTGTTTGAATGAAGAGCTGAGTACATGAAATCAGATGTCTCGTGTTCAGCCACCCTGCGTTGGGACTTTTGCACGTGAGAAGTGTTTCTGGCTGGATTTATTTTGTTCTTGCACCCCGGCTTGTATAGGGTGTGTTGTGCTGTCATGACCTTGGCTCATGGAACCCACCACAGCTCCTGGGTCTGTTCCTTACCAGCGGGTGGCTGGCCAGTGTCTCTGGAAGGGGAGCCTGGCAGGCAGGGGGTTGCTGGGAAAACCCGTCTGACTCGTGCCTCCTGAGCTGCTTGTGCAAGAGTGACAAACGCATTCCTTGGCTGTAGCACAGATTTTCAGTGTTTCAGCCTGTGAAGCTCAACTTGAGGCTTCTTTGTGCTTTCTCAGTAGACTGTATTATCTTTTTTTGACAAGACTGAGCTGTTGCCAGATCAGACAATTGCACTTTTCTTAAATGTTCCACTGTAATTCAATCTGAATTAAAATCAGAGATAAACCTCAAGTCATTATTCTTGATGGGTGAGGGGAAGGGGAGATGTGATGATGGTTTCATATCATTCTGTATTTCCATTTTATGTTTTGTTTTTCCTGTGGTATTTCTTTTGCACCCTTTATTTGAGGTTTTCAGTGTCATGTGTGTATGGATGAAGTTAAAGCCTTTTCGATTTGTCATGAAGGAACATGCTCTGTATAATTCAGTCAGACATGGGATTAGGTTTGTGATCAGTGCTTACTTACACCTGGATGCAAGCAAAAAGAAAGGCTTGAATCTTAAGCAAAAATGCCTTTCTCATTCAAATTAAAAATCTTATGAAATTCAAGTTCTTATATTCAAACAAGTCTAGACAGAAGTAATTAATAGACTAATTGTTGCTGTAGCCCTCTCTGTTTTCATGTGGGCATCACTGTGAGTGAGGTAATCTCGGGGATGATTCAGCTAGAGGCCCAGTCACGGGTGTTTACTTGTTTTCTTCTCCACAGACTACGACCAGCCAGGCCATCTTCCGCCTGCAGTCCGGCGTCTGCCAGCTCTTCCGGGACACACTCATCAACAAGGGCTTTGTGGAAATTCAGACTCCCAAAATTATATCTGGTACTTCGCTCTCATGCTTCTCTGTGTCCTATAAATTGTCGTGTGAAGAAGCCATGCTGTCGTGAAAGTGTTTATTCTCTCATATTTCTTCTATGACTTCATCTGTCTCTGCAGGGTGCTGAGAGAAAGGTAGTGTGATGAGACATTAACGTGCAGCTGGGCCATGATCCGCTACTCTACTGTTCTGTACTTATTCCATGTCCTTTCTCTTGGACACAGACATCACGAGATCACATTCACAGATCTCTGATCTGTGTTTTTGAATTGCAACAGGAATATATATAAATTAAATGTTTTTATTTAACAGTCTGAGGCGAACAGGAAACAAATTCTCATTTTTGCTTGCTACATAAATCTCATTGTCCCGTGGATCATGGCTTTTACGCTAGTGGAGCAGTTTCACTTTTCAGAAGAAGATTCTGTTCTGCTGGTGTTCTCCAGATGTCTGTTGCAATACACCAGGCAGCCAGACAAGCAGGCAGTGTTATTTTTTTTCCTTCCTGCCTGAGCCCCTGGGATTGTAAACCCTATTTTATCACCAGCATATTGACCTTTTCTGGTGCCTGGGACCCCTCTCAAGGACATTTTGCTTTCTGCTTGAAAGGTAAAAACTTGATGAGAGGTGAACTTGTTTGCACTTGCAGTTTGTTGTAAAGAGATGCCACAGGCTGCTGATAAAGCCCCAGAGACAGGCTGGGCAGCCTTTTCCAAGTGTTTTATTGCAGGTTAATGGCACAGCTGTCTCAGAGAGAGGTCAGGGCTGTTTCCTCCAGACAGCTGACTTGTACACCTTGAACTGCTGAGTTCCATCCTGGGTTATTTCTTTCCCAGCTCAGAATAACTTTGATACCTTGTTTGCTGCTGGCATTGAACGTTATAATAGATTCTGTTTGATTGCTATAGGTAAGACTGCATCTCAAGGCCCTCCTACACTCCGTGATTCTTGTAATAAAGCGCAGGTTTTGTGAATCATGCTTCACTGCTTTTTTTTAGGAACTGAAGCATTTCAGTACCTTATATATTTAACCAGTTCTGAACATGCAGTTCCTATTTACACCATTATACCATTAACTATTCTCCTTATACTTGAAGGAATAACTTCTCATTACAAGGTGAAGTAGAACTATTAAAATATTCAATAGAGTAAACTCGCCGACTTGTATTTTGGGAAAGAGGACTCCAATGAACTGAGCTGGAGTGGCCAACCTGGTCCTGGAGACCCATAGCCCTACAGTTTTTTTTTTTAGGTCAGCCTTAAATTGTACATTTTCTGAACACTTGGAACAGTTTCATTTTGACTACAGGATATATTTTCACGTGTGTTTTAGAGATCATTTGAAATAAAAAATATCAAAGACCTATAGATTTTAAGGTACCTGAACTGGTTAACTTACTAAAATGATTGAAACTCATTGTGTTCTGAATCTTTGCTGACCTATGAGAGACCTGGGGGATTATGACTCTGTGACGAAACAATAGAAAGACTTTCTGTGGCTGGGCAATTCCTGGTCCACTTTGAGAGTAGGGGAGAATTTTATTGCCTTCCCCAGCCAGAACGATTACCAACTCTCTGTCCTGCTGGAAACTGCTGCAAGCTGTACAGTTCCCTCCCCAGTGCTGTGATACCTAATCACAGTCTCAGATGAAGACAATCCAGCTGGTAGAATTGGCCTTGTGCAGAAGGAATGTGCGTGTGACTGCACAATTTTTAAAACCTTGCATGATTCTTTCCACATGCTATTCTTGTTACAAGATCATGAACACATTATTTAGTGGAGGTTCCTAGTATTTTGGATAGTAAGCATGGGAAAAAATGTTAGCAGTCTGCAAGCAACACAGGCATGGTGGTTACCTTGTGCTGGAGATAACTTGCTTCCTTTCTCTTTTTGCTTTCTGATTCTGTCTAGCCAATCAGACATCAGGCTAATGAACTTTTGAATTTTGAAATGACACGTGCAGTTTGTCAGCATCTTTGAAATGATTTTCTAATGCAATGTAGCAGACCGTCTTCTGATTTGGGTAGTTTCAAAATTTTTAAAACAATTTGATTACCAGTAGGTCATGTATTATGAAAAATTGTAATTCACTTATGTCTTTTATTTTATTATTATTTTTAATAATTATATAAAAATGAAATCAGATTATTTTATTACAATCATAGAATATTTAACATTGTTGAAACAACTTTTTTTTCTTTTATATTTTATAATTATTTTTATAAATCACTTTGTGTTTTCAGCTGCCAGTGAAGGAGGGGCCAATGTTTTCACCGTTTCCTACTTTAAGACTAGTGCTTACCTGGCTCAGTCACCACAGCTGTACAAGCAGATGTGCATCTGTGCTGACTTTGATCAAGTGTTCTGTATTGGTCCTGGTAAGAACCTTCCTAAACCTTTCAGTTCCTTCTGCAACCAAATGCTGAACTATTTGCTGTCTGCAGAATGTCTGCCTTCAGGGTCTATTTTAGCTGTATAGACCAAGACTCTTAGACTTTTACCTCATACTGCTAAATGTTGAAATGCTGAAGATACTAGGTCCTCCAAAAGCTGAGTGGAACACCCCTGGTATAGAGACAGCAATGAAAGGTCTATTTGTTTTTTCAGTTAATATATCTTGTGGCAGTTCTTTTAGCTGCTTGATGATTGAAAATACATTTTACATACATACAAAAAGCCTATTAAGACCAGATATCAGATGACAGTGTCACCAAGGTTTTAAAGATGGAAACTCCCCAAAAGTTTTCAGTGTGAAGTAAAAACCCTGCAGCATTTTTATTGACATGTGGCTCTTCAGACTTCACAGATATGACTCTCTAGGGACCTCTTGTGGGCAGTCAAGTAAAAACTGCTGCAGTGGTTTTTCACACCTACCAACCTCACCTAGATTCTGGTAAACACTGAACTGTAACTTACAGTGTCCTTCTGGTATTTAAAATAATTTTTTTCACAATTATTACTTATGTAATAGTAGTATTTTGTAAATTAACTTTTGTGATGTATGTGTTCAATTCAGTTCCAAGGTTACAGGCTCTGCTAGGGCAGAGTTAAGCCCATAAGTATGACGCGAGTTTTACCAAGTTATTGTATCATTTATTTTCTTTTTAACATAGGAGTTATCAGGTTTGAAAGCCAGTCATATATTTTAATAATTTAGAAAATTCCGTTCAAAATTTGCATCTCCTGTTTTTAATTACATTTTCATAACACTTTCTCTTTTCTAACAAGTGTTCCGAGCAGAGGACTCCAACACCCACCGCCATCTGACTGAGTTCGTAGGCTTGGATATCGAAATGGCTTTTAACTACCACTATCACGAGGTGGTGGACCAGATCACAGACACCTTGGTTCAGATTTTTAAGGGACTGAGAGACAGGTAAAGGGGGTTAGCCTGATTTGACTTTTCTGAGATGTTCTATTCATGAGCTTTTATTTCCTCGAGTTGGTGTCTGTCAGAACTCGAAGGGATTTTACAAGTTACTGCTGCCATCTTGTGGTGAAAAAGTGTATTGCAAGTGTGGCCTAGAGCTGTACGTGGATATCGCAGGTTCCAGACGGAGATCCAGACGGTGAATAAACAGTACCCCAGCGAGCCCTTCAAGTTCCTGGAGCCCACCCTGCGGCTGGAGTACAAGGAGGCGGTGGCCATGCTGAAGGAAGCAGGGGTGGAGATGGGGGACGAGGAGGATCTCAGGTTAGAGAAAAATGGGCTCTAACTCTTCTTTCCCAAAAACATCACTTTAGACTTTAAGATAAGAGATGAGATAAGATCACTTTATTGGCCATTTACAATTTCTTGTATTAGGAATTTATCTTTTTGCTTACCACAACTTGCTCTCCATGAGACACACAGACAGGGAGAGAAGCTTCGGGGCACAGTTTGTGCTGCACAGGAATCAGTAACTTGCAACTCTAAATCACAGCATGTCGAGGTCTTTCCTGGACTAGACTGAACCGGAATTCTAGCGGTCTCGAACCACTGTCCTGGCTGGGCATGGGAAGGGTACAGTCCCATGAGCCCAGGGGAAGTGACCTTATTGTTCAGGCTTAGTGCTTCGTCATCCACAGCACACTCCCAGTATTCACTGTGTTCAGCATTTTTACACACATAGAATTTTGTGCTGTGTATGTGTTGACCTGAAATGCAAGGTATTTGCTATATTTGATTTATTTTTTCAAAAAGGCTTCATTATTTATGAAGCTATCATTATGTTATGCATTATCCAGGACTGATATTCAGGTTACAGGAGCCAGCAAGGTTCAGATCTAAACGTCTTGACTTGGCTTTCCGATTTTCTTTCAGTTATGGCAGAGTTTATTTAAAAAAATATTCTGATCAAAACTAGTTGTTTTTTGTGTTAACATTTTTTTTCTTTTTCCTTTAGCACACCAAATGAAAAGCTTCTTGGTCGTCTTGTGAAAGAAAAGGTATGATAAATTCACCAGATTAAAGTTAGTTTTAAAACATATGATGATGATGGTGTATAGCAGTATTAACACTTAACAGCAGTTACAGCAAAACCACCCAGAATATGATACTTGTGATACTTGTGATTTATTGATGCATACATCATGTGTGATGGATATTCTTTAAGATTATTAAAGACCTGGAGCGAGATACTCCTTTCCAAAAGAGTGGTGGAAGTCTGGAACACGCTGCCAGTCATGCTGTTGAAGGGTTGGATGAGATGCTTGGATCAATGGGCCAAATGGCCTCCTGTCGTTTGACACGTTTCCTGGGTGAATTCTGCATATGTGTCTGTGTGATGAGGCTGAGGACTGCTCTCTTCCCTCCTGCAGTATGACACTGACTTCTATGTGCTGGACAAGTACCCGCTGGCTGTCAGGCCCTTCTACACCATGCCAGACCCCAACAACCCTGTGAGTGTCGGAGTTCGTGCTCTACACACTGGCCTCTTTCATTACAGCTGCATACAAATATTTCAGCGATGGTAAAAAATAAATAAATAAATAATGAGTAAAACTCTCTTTCAGAAATACTCAAACTCCTATGACATGTTCATGAGGGGAGAAGAAATTCTGTCCGGAGCTCAGAGAATCCACGATCCTCAGCTGCTCAGCGAGAGAGCCCTGCATCACAATATTGGTAAAAGAACAGTCCACAAATTTAATTAGAAATCTTTGTTTAGATTATGAAACTAAAATCAAATAGAACTCTTTGTTACAAAAGAGAATCTACTGGCAACTTTTATCCTTTGCACAGACTGCCCAGTGTGAGGCCTTTAATAACTTACACCCACCTGGTAGTGTGATCTGGCAGAGTAGACCATGTTCCAAATGACTAGTTGGCAATATCCAATCAGCACACTGATACATTTGATTATCATTTGACTGCTCGCTGAATGATAAAGCTGACAATGGAGATAACAGAGACCACAGTTGCCTAGATTCAATATTATGTAGGATAGTCCAGTCATTGCTTATCCTAAATATTTAATTGTACAAATGTACAAAATCCTAAAACATTTAATTGAATGCTTTCATAAAACTGTTATTTTTTATAATGGAAGTTTCTTTTCTATTCACCTTGTATATTAACCTACACATAATTATAACAACTTGCTAACAAAAAGAGAACACTGCTTTTCCTCCAGCAATTTTACTTAAGACACTGTTCACAAAACATGTGATGAGATGCTGCTCAGATTACTGGCAGTTTGTATTCGATATGAGCTGTCAGGCTGCTGGAACTGGACAGAAGTCCCATGATGACCGCAGAGACTAGATTGCTGTGGTTTATGAGTTACTAGCACATGAACAGAAATGATAAGCAAAGTGATTCTTGGGGTAAGGTTTCATTTCATTAACTTCAGAGATTTGACAATTAATAATTTACATAATCAGAAATCCCAAAGTTTTTGCTGTTAAAACTTGATGTACCTGTATAACATTGTGTTCACTTCAAAATGACGGGAAAGCCCTGTGTCTGTTGCAGACCTTGAAAAAATCAAAGCGTACATCGATTCCTTCCGCTACGGCGCTCCTCCTCACGCAGGCGGTGGCATAGGTGAAGTATCCACTTCAAACTTGGTTATCTCTCTTTTGCAAACAGGAATTTGTGTAGAGAAAAAAAAAAAGTCCAATTCTGATTATTTTTCATTATTTTCTGACTATGAAAACAATCAACCACTTGGTGGCACTCTGTCAAGTTTAAGACTTAGTTGAAAGTGAGTTACTTTTACTCACCTGATCTTACTGTGATTATGTTAATAGTGATCTTAAAGCATATCGTGTCCTGCATTACAAGAAACTATCTCAAAATGCAAAATATGGCTTATGAATTCAGAAGTAAAAAATATACAGATATTGCATTTATCTAGTCATGGAAAGAATATACCAATGCCTTAGACTTTTCAAAACATCCTTTTAATGAATAATCTTGTTTGAAAAATCAGTGGTGAATTAAGTTTAAAATCTTTTTAATCTTTGCATTGTCTACATTGCGTATATTTCAGTGCTTAAAGCCTACATTACATTTCAACAGTGAAGAAACTTTTAATTTAACTGTTAAGGCTCAATAGCGAGAGATCTGCATGCCATCTGTTCTGGAACACGAGGTCTTGTTTTGCACTGACTGTGTGGGTCCTGTGTTGCAGGCCTGGAGCGAGTCACCATGTTGTACCTGGGGCTCCACAATGTCCGCCAGACCTCCATGTTCCCCCGCGACCCCAAGCGCCTGACCCCCTGAGGAAGAAACATGGCTGGACTCTCCACTCCCATCGTCTGCTGTCAGACCTGTCAGACTGTTCTACACACAAGCTGTGTACAAACCAGTGCCACTGATTCAATAAATCAAGCCGTTTTTAATCATACTAATTAGTAATTAAAGTATATCTTAGGGGATTTGAACTTTAACAATGAAATTCTACACCAGTTAACACTGACTTGAAACAACTCTAAAGCATTTATACAGCAGTTATTTTTATTAATGTACTGTTCTAAACATTTTTATAGATTTCACTCAATTGCAGTAGTAAGGTCACACTTGTACGATTCTTCATTTATGATTGTGCACACTGGAAGGCTGTTTAATTATGGAAATGGAGTAGCAGATGAAGAGATTTTCAATTTTAACAGTAAATGTAATTACAAATATGAATTAAAGCAATAGAAAACTACACATGGTGTGTTAATTTATTTCTAATGTAAGAGCTCCTGAAAGGCCCCTAGAGAAAATACCACCTTCTTAATCCACATAATGGATTAAAACAGGTTTTATGAAACAGGTTTATGAAATTAAGGGCATGATGCCCTCCCAGTCTACAGATCTTCTAAGCAGCCTGTTCATAGTTTCTTTTACTGTTGCAGACCCGAAAACGGGTATTCACAGTCTCCAAGTGACGTCTGTGAGCCAAGTACTGATTGGATAGCATCTTTTATTTGATAGATGCAATAAATCTAGTTACCTGAATCGAGTCTTAGCCTTGTACTTGATTCGACCGCTACCTGAGCCCTAGCTTTTCCATTGACATTCCCTCCATACCAGAGTTTTCTGAATTAAGCTTAGTTAATTCAGATTAACTTTTAAAAAATCTTAGCAGCTGTAAAACAAGCTCTTGTTGCCTAGATCCCACCCCTCCTCTTTGCTGAAAGTTTGCCTGCCAGGAATCTGTCCTTTGCTTGTCAATTATCATCAATGGCATCTATCAAATAAAAGATGCTATCCAATCAGTACTTGGCTCACAGACGTCACTTGGAGACTGTGAATACCCGTTTTCAGGTCTGCAACAGTAAAAGAAACTATGAACAGGCTGCTTAGAAGATCTGTAGACTGGGAGGGCATCATGCCCTTAATTTCATAAACCTGTTTCAATCCATTATGTGGATTAAGAAGGTAGTTAATTCAGGTAACTAGACTGGGAGGGCATCATGCCCTTATGGGCGGAGCGGTGGCTCTGTGGCTAAGGATCTGCGCCTGTGACTGGAAGGTTGCCGGTTCAAATCCCACGGCCGGCAGAGGAATCCTACTCTGTTGGGCCCCTGAGCAAGGCCCTTAACCCTAACTGCTCCAGGGGCGCCGTACAATGGCAGACCCTGCGCTCTGACCCCAAGCTTCTCTCCCTGTCTCTGTGTCTGTGTCTCCATGGAGAAAAGCTGGGGTATGTGAAAAGATGCATTCCTAATGCAAGAAATTGTATAGGGCTAATAAAGAAACATTATTATTATTATTATTATTAACAATGGGTATATTCTGTACTACTTTAAAGACTCCATCAATCATTCCTATATGAAAGAAACCTGTCTTGGATTCCGATTCTATTACAACTACAGACCAATTTCTAATTTACCACTTCTGTCTGTGAGGTTTAAGAAAATGTGGTTGCAGATCAGTTACAGGCTCACATAATAGCTAATGGTTTGTTTAAATCATTCTAGTCGTGTTTGCCCTAATCATGGCAGTGAGACTGCACTTATCAGGGTTGTGAATGATTTACCCATTGGTCCAACTCCTAGGCTAAAAGTTTTCTTGTGCTCCTTGATCTTAGTATGGCTTTTGATGCAGTAAATCATTATTGCTTGCGAACCTTCAGGTCTATCAATTGACTGTTTTTAACTGGTTCCACTGATATCTGACTGGCAGTTTTGTTTTCCTTTGTCCTTATAAATCCCATCACCCCAGTCAATCACAGTCTGCCACAGTCTGGGGCCCATGGCTTCATATTAACATATTATATATGTTACTTTATTACATAAAGTATATTGGATTTTATTACATATGCAAAGATGGCATTCAGTTTCAGTTATGCAGATGATGCTCAGATTTATGTGAAAACGTCTTCCTCCTTTGGTCTCACCCTCTGTCACTTATCTCGTCTGCATGACACCATGAATTTGGTTTCTACAACTCCTTGGTCTATAGGATCCCCAACACTCTTCTCAGAAAGTTGCAATATGGCCTACTGAGTAATATATTCATTATTAGATCTTGTAACTGACTTTTAAGGCTCTAAATAATTTGGGTCCACCTTACATTTCTGAACTCCTCCGTGTTTACACTCCCTCCTGTAGCTCCAGTTGGTCGAGGCTGGTCCTCTGCTTCCTGTACCCAGCACTGAATCTACCTGTTGGTGCCTTTTCTGTCGCTGCTTCTTTGTTCTGGAATGCCTTTCCTATTAGACAAATTCTCTGACTCACTTCTGAACTTTCTAAATAAAAGTATAAATAATAATAGTAACACCTGTGACCGCATCTGAGCCTCTCGGGAGATCGGGGCTTTATTATTATTATTATTATTATTATTATTTCTACGTCATCATACATCCCTAATCACGTTTCTAACGGATTGTTTGCTTCAGTGCTTAACCCGAGTAACTGAAATTCCTGTATCTTTACATTTTAACGCAGTTTTACTAGTCGTGCGCTTATTAAGAACGCTGTTGTATACGAGCCTATAATTATGTCTTACCACTGAGTCAGTAATCCGTTTCGGTACACTCTCAGTAAGAAACTTCATCCTAAATATTTCTGTTCGGTTTTAAATTATGATTATTCAGTTTTTGTTCGGATGATCTGTAGTAAAACTGAAATTACGTTGCCCTACATGCTTGAATTTCGGAGTTCACGTCTGTATAATCATCCGTTTCCGAATAGTAAAGTAATTTCTGCATTGTAACGATTATTTAGTTGTTGAGCAAGAACAGAAATCGAACACCACAACATAAAAACTTGCAAACCCTCTCCATTTTGTTTCTTGTCCGGATGTTGTACCCTCCTCATGTCTCATACAGGTTTTCATTGTAAGACACACCCACTCCACATCAGGACGCTGATTGGCCCAAAACTCCCGGGAAGGCGTCGATGTAAAAAAGCAATAGCTATGATTGGTTCCTGGTGGCGGGAACGCTAACACGTGGGAAATTGCTCTGGCGCGAAACTTTCTCGGAGCACTGGAAGTGTGGGGCTGCGTGCCTGTGTCTGAGTTTTTTATTCTTTTACTGGGCTTATAAGGGTTTTAAAGAAACATGGATCTCGCAGAACCTGCAGCGGGTGCTCCTGGACAGCAAATCAAAGACGATTTAGCAGAGAAGTGTCAGAAATTATTCCAGGATTTCTTGGAGGAGTAAGTGGTTAAGATTGAAACGCGACTTTGAAAGTGTGCTGCAGCTCCTGTAGTCTGCTAAGTATCCAGAAAAGCCTATACGGTTGTGCATTATTAACGAATACAGGACGAGTAGGAATTGGTGGGATCTTTAATCTTTCTCAAGAATAACTTTATTGATTTTTCGTGCGTTCATTAAAATCAATTTGAAATATTATTCACCCTTAATGTTGGGTTTGGGTAGTTTATCTTGCCGACATGTTTTTCCATTGTGCGTCCTGTTGTGGATCAACAGCAGTGAAGTCATATTGACTATAATTGTTAATCCAATAGTTTTGTATACAAAGAAGTTCCGTGTTGGTTAAAAGTGCCTGAGGCTTTTTGCAGTGTATTTAAATCCGTTTATGTCACGAAACCTTTAATTAAAAAGAGAAGCCAATTTCAGCCACTTCAACTCAAGGCCAGTCTGTGAAGGGGTTAAAACGCATCGCTGTAGCGTTGCTTTGTGCTGATCACTGTTCGCTGTAAGAAAGTGCGAGTTTGCGAGAGCTGTTTTTAACGTTGCACTTGTAAAGCTTTGTGTAGCGACGGTGGAGTTGCTGCCCGGCAGTGACAGGATTCCTCTACTCGTGTCGCAGGTTTCAGAACAGCGACGGCGAGGTGAAGTACCTGCGGGACGCGGAGGAGCTGATCCGGCCCGAGAGAAACACGCTGCTCGTCAGCTTTGCTGACCTGGAGCAGTTCAACCAGCAGCTGGCCACCACCGTGCAGGAAGAGTTTTACAGGTAGCCCATGAGCTGCATCGGAACTAGCACGCCGCTGCCCTGTGAGGTGTTGATTGCTGTCCGCTTCGCTTGTTTTCTCATTTTCCCTAAAATCATGTATTTTGATCTTTCAGAGTGTATCCCTATGTGTGCCGAGCTGTGAAAAATTTCGCCCGAGATCATGGAAATGTTCCAGCCAGCAAGGAGTTCTATGTGGCGATCCAGGATGTTCCCACCAGACACAAGTAAGAGGCCATGACAGCAGTGTTCTCCACGCAGGAGTGAAGGAGAAGCTGTTGGATGTCTGTGATTGGCCCAGTGCAATATGATCGCAGCTGTTACAGCTCACATAGTTTAAAGCTCACAATCCCAGTGCTGGGTTTGTTAGTTCTTTTGGTGAAATTAGTTTCAAGCCCGTGCTGTGTGTGAATTTAAGCCTTTGCCTTTGTAATGGATGTTAAGTCTGAGTGATGTTTCAGTGGTAGGCTAAAGAGGGCAAGTGGTGTGCCTGTACTGTGATGTCTGTCCTGTGCCCAGGATCCGGGAGCTGACCTCAGTGCAGATCGGGTCGCTGGTGAGGATCAGTGGACAGGTGGTGCGCACTCACCCCGTTCACCCGGAGCTGGTCAGCGGCACCTTCCTGTGCCTGGACTGCCAGACCGTGGTGAAGGATGTGGAGCAGCAGTTCAAGTACACCCAGCCCAACATCTGCCGCAACCCTGTCTGCAACAACCGGCGCCGGTTCATGCTGGACACCAACAAGTCCCGGTTCATCGACTTCCAGAAGGTGGGTTGCGGGCCTGGGACTGGGAGCTCTTCAGTTTCTATCCTGAAATGCTCATCCGCACTGTTGCTTCATGCCCCTTGGAGTTCCAGATAGGAAGCCATTGCTACCCATCACAAGTCTGTCTGTAACCTTGGTGCTGTTGTGCCTTGATAAAGGCGCCCTTGGATCAGAGGATGCAGTCCTTCCTGCTGTGCAGGAGTGAATGTTGCTCCATTTGTAACCCTGACAGTTTCTCGCTCCAGGTGCGAATCCAGGAGACACAGGCGGAGCTGCCGCGTGGAAGCATCCCTCGCAGCATGGAGGTCATCCTGCGCTCTGAGGCCGTGGAGTCGGCGCAGGCGGGGGACAAGTGCGACTTTGTGGGCACCCTGATTGTCGTCCCAGATGTGTCCCAGCTAGCCACACCAGGTACCCGGCCTCTTCTGACACTGAACGCGACCTCATGAAACACTGGGATCTTGGGTGGCATGGTTGATTTCTTTTTCGTTTCAAGTTGCTTTTAAGTTAGTGACATTGTTAAGTCATTACACTAAATGAAACCCCTGATGTTCCCCCGCTGCTATTGCAGGTGTGCGGGCGGAGACGGGTGCTCGCCCCTCTGGCTCGCAGGGCTACGAGAACGAGGGCCTGCGGGGCCTTCGAGCTCTGGGTGTGAGAGACCTGTCCTATAAGCTAGCCTTCCTGGCCTGTCACGTGGCTCCAACTAACCCCAGGGTGAGAGCGACACTTCATGGTTCTATGGTTGTTTTCTGCAGTTAGCTTGTCTTTGAAAGACAGTGTTAAGAGATTCTCTTCGTTCCAGTTTGGAGGAAAGGAGCTACGAGATGAAGAGCAGACAGCCGAGAGTATAAAGAACCAGATGTCTGTTAAGGAGTGGGAGAAAGTGTTTGAGATGAGCCAGGACAAGAACCTCTATCACAATCTCTGCACCAGCCTGTTCCCCACTATACATGGTGAGTCTTGAGGAATATATTGGGAAAAAGTAACCTTTAGAAATGTCTAAATTAAAAAACTAATTTAACCTTGTGTTAAATTAGTGCTCCACAAACCTGAGTGCTAAAAATGCATTTTGATCAGTTTTAACTTTAGCCACTCCATGCTGGCATTTGAGGTGGTGTAATTTTCTACGTGTTGAAAAAGTTTATTTTGATCTGTTTGTGTTGTCAGGCAATGATGAAGTGAAGAGGGGCATCCTGTTGATGCTGTTTGGAGGAGTTCCCAAGACTACAATGGAGGGCACCTCGCTGCGAGGGGACATCAACGTGTGCGTCGTGGGCGACCCCAGTACGGCCAAGAGCCAGTTCCTCAAGTGAGTGTGGATCCCGGGGAGCCTTGTGTGGCAGGTCTGGAGTTGGAGTTGGAGGTTGGAGTATGCCGAGCACGAAGCTCTGCCCCCTTTGGTTGTAGTTGCATAGAGCCTTGGTGCTGCCTGTGTGAAAGGAGAGCCATCTGTCAAGCGTGAGCTCTTAGCGGCTCTGTGCGTCCTCTTGCAGACACGTGGAGGAGTTCTGCCCCCGCGCGGTCTACACCAGTGGAAAGGCGTCCAGCGCAGCAGGTCTGACCGCGGCTGTGGTCCGGGACGAGGAGTCCCACGAGTTCGTCATCGAGGCGGGAGCGCTGATGCTGGCTGACAACGTAGGTTTCGGCAGCTTCCGTCTGTTTGCAGCGTATAAACACGCGTCATTAGGAATTCTGTTTTCTATAATTGGCTCACCCGATGTCAAGTGTCTGTGGTTTATGGAATAATAACACCCTTATTTGTGGGTCATGCACTTTGGCTGTGCCTGACATTTTAGAAATAACATGATGCAACATACGCCTTTATATTCTGTATTCTTATTCGTACTGGATTTGCTTTTAAATGAATTTAATTGCTGGTAAACAGCTTAAAACTCTATAAAATAATGGACATCACACCTGCCAGCTTTGGAGCTGTGATATCTGAACCCTCACACCTGTACTGTGCCAGGTGGTAATGTTCCACACCTGCTGAAACTGCAGCAGTTATGTCAATGCCAGAATAACATCATGGGAGTTACAGGAGGAGGCCAGTATATTCTCATTGTTGTAACAGAGATCTGGACAGGATTTGAACCTAGAATGGGCGGAGTGTTCTTCCTGCAAATAGCAGCCAAGTGTTCAGCCTGTGTGTGATCCTCAGGGTGTGTGCTGCATTGATGAGTTTGACAAGATGGACATGAAGGACCAGGTGGCCATCCATGAAGCCATGGAGCAGCAGACCATCTCCATTACTAAAGCTGGTGTTAAGGTGAGCAATTGCCAAAGAGATACGCAGAACAATTATTGGTTGCATTGCTGAACTCTTTCTAGTTTTATGGATTTGTAGTTTTTTCATCCCAAGAGATCCCCAAGCGCTCTACACCTAGGCCTTTTTTTAGCTGTGAGATCTGATTAGATCTGGCTGCAGGTTGGAAGTACTGCTGACCCCATTATGCCTTTTCAGATGTAATTGAAGCCATTAAATCTGAAGAACGCAGCACAAATGTACTATTTTCTTGTGGCCAGCAGTATTTTCTGGCCCAGACTCAGCATATTGCACCAGTTTGTGTTCTTTTCACAGATTTCTTAAATGAAGTGTTGTTTAAGGTAATAGTATTGTAACTAAAAGTAATCTAATATTAAGTGTACAAATGGGGTCATTTTTATTTTTCTTACACAGGCCACCCTAAATGCTCGGACCTCCATCTTGGCAGCAGCAAACCCCATTGGGGGGCGCTATGACAGGTCAAAGTCCCTGAAGCAGAATGTCAATCTCACAGCACCCATCATGTCCAGATTTGACCTCTTCTTCATCCTGGTGGACGACTGCAACGAGGTGAGCAGCTGCGCTTTCCCGCCACCATGGCAGCTGTGCACAGCGAGCTCCTGAAGAACAACAGTTGGCTGTAGGACTGGCAGTACAAGGGCTTACCTCCCCCAGTCTCTACTAGAAAACTGATTGGTGTCTGTGATGGGCTTTGTTCTGCTGAACGGCTTTCTGACTTGCTCAGGCTTTGTGCATTTCCCCAGGTCACAGATTACGCCATAGCCAGACGTATAGTGGACCTCCACTCCAGAGTGCAGGAGTCTATTGACCGCCTCTACACCTTGGAAGAGATCCGCAGATACCTGTTGTTTGCCAGGCAGTTTAAACCAAAGGTGAGTAAAAATTGCTTTTCTCCAAATTAAAAATAAACCTTAATAGTGTTATATTGAAGGACTGGTGATAAACCAGGGTTTCCCTTGCTTTTCTGCCAGATCTCTAAGGAATCGGAGGACTTCATTGTTGAGCAGTACAAGCGCCTGAGGCAGCGGGATGGTTCAGGCGTCGCCAAATCGGCCTGGAGGATCACGGTCCGGCAGCTGGAGAGCATGATCCGCCTGTCGGAGGCCATGGCCAGGATGCACTGCTGTGACGAGGTGCGTTTCCCCGAGAGCCGGGCGTCCCTCTAGGCCCCTGGGCATAGACTCGTTCAGCTCACGCAGAGAATGCCTTTCCCAGCGCGGACATGGCATGAAGAGAGCAGGCAGGCCACTACAGCAGTTATCGGCACACTTTTCCAGAGCAGGTTGCATGTTGTGTGCCTCTGCGCTGGCTCTTTTTACTGGCTGTACTGCCCTGTGCTCTGATGGGGAAACTGCAGCTGTGTTTTTTTTTTCTGCCTCACAGGTGCAGCCAAAGCATGTTAAAGAAGCCTTTAGGTTGCTGAACAAGTCCGTCATCCGGGTGGAAACACCGGATGTCAATTTACAGCAGGAGGAGGAGCCTGAAGAGGAGGAGGAGGAGGTGGCCGGTGGAGTGGATGGTATGGCTCAAATGGCTAGAACACCGGCAGGCAGTTTCGCTCTTGGATTTCCGTTCAGATGAAGTTTACCGAATCAAATAATAAACTCAACCTGTGTTTTAATTTATGCCCTATTGCTTTTTAATAACTGAAGTAGTTGAACTGAGACCAGACTGTGCACACCGCAGAAACTGAAGCCCCACTGATGTTGTGGCTCAGCCAGCCAGACTAGGATGTGTTGGTTTCCCCAGGTCACGCTGTGCTGGCGGGTGTTAACGGTGAAGTGAACGGAGTCGCTGGCCATGCTGACGATGGAATGGACACTGCTGCCGGGAAGCCCCATTTGCGACTGTCTTTCACAGAGTACCGTCGAATTTCCAACCTCATCGTCCTCCATCTGAGAAAGGCAGAGGAAGGTCAGCACTGCTCCGCTGTTAAAACCCTTCATTTCTTTTTAAATACTGCTTCCTTCCTTAACGAGGAGGGAGGAGGCAAATTGTTTAATAGGCAACATCTGATTTTTTTTCCCTCCGTTTTATTGCAGATGATGACGAATCTGGGCTGAAGAAAAGTGCAGTTATTAACTGGTACTTGAAGGAGATAGAATCTGAAATTGATTCTGAAGAAGAGCTTATTAATAAGAAGAAAATAATTGAAAAAGTCATTCACAGGCTTGTTCATTATGTAAGTTTATTTTTTTAGTGCTTTTGCAATTGGGTTAGGATTTGTTTAACTCGATCTTAAATTAATGGTCGGCTTGTCTGATCATTTCTGATGAGGAAGCTGGTTCTTCGTCTTTGGCATTTTGTTAGCAGAGATTTTTTTTTTCTCCAGTGAAATTCCACCATGACGTTCTTATGATTTAGACCTGCTCCTTGTTCAGGGCAGTGACTTGTTTTAAATTCAATCACTTGCTTTTGCAGGACCATATTCTCATCGAGTTATCGCAGAGCGCACTGAAGGGCTCCCAGACAGCGTCAGAACCTGAGGAGGCGTTTTTGGTTGTTAACCCCAACTATACACTGGAGGACTAAACTGGAGAGAATACGTCAGTCTCAGTATTGTCAGACATTAGAGAGAACATGAAAGTGCTGAAGAAACAGTTTAAATTCAGATGATTTTTGGTTGGAGTTTAAAATTCTTGTTGAAAGTGATGGGTAGAGTTGTGGTTTTTGTTTTTTGCTTTGATTTCTGCAAAGCATTGCTGTTAATAATGCATTCAACACAGTCTTTTCCCATTTAAAAGTATTTATCCTTACTTGAGGATCTTGGCTTATTGTTTTGTAGAGCAGATTACACCTGAAACTGCTTTAAATTTAGTGACAGGTTAATGTCATTCCAGTGTCTCATTTTACCTGTTTTATGCACATTGTATATAACCTATCATTCAATCTGTACTTTTTTATTGTTTTTTTATATTTTTAGATTTCTGTTAAAGACTGCAAATCTATAACAGTTGTGTCTAACAGTGCAAAATAGCTTTACATTTTGTTTAGTTCTTTTAGATAATTTAAAAACTTGGCTGTTTCTTGTGTGTGACATAATTTTTAATGAATTGTCTTCTCGTATCTGAAGTGTAATGTCCTGTTTTTTTCCGCCATTTAGTTTCAATGGACAGAAAACTGTATTTGAATGTGCAGTTTCCCAACTTGTAAGTGTTCAACCCTAAACACTGCTGCCCTGTGCTTACTGAACTTATAGGCATATATCAGATTTATTTTCAGGAAAAGTATTGATCAATTGATGCATGCAGTCGGTAGCTTCGTTGAGTTGAAATTTAAATACAGCATTCATATGGCACAAGGCTGAGCAGATCTGCTCATACTGCATCTGTATGTCTAGTGTACCCTGTAATTGTCATGATGTCGCTATAATTTTGTTTCCTGGTTAAAACGCTGAAGACTAGTGTTTACAGAAGGCCCGAGCTACTTTTCACTAGTCCTTAAGGGTTTATAGGTGACGCTGATCGATCGTTAAAGCACATTGTCGTCCTGCGGTTTACTCATGTATATGTGGGTACGTTTTTTTCAGTCGATTGTTAAAGCAGACTTCCAACTCGTTTAGCAGTCCACGTATATTCTGGGCAGCATGTTAATATTTTTATATTCATTTTTTATTTATTTAAAGCAATTATGCTAAGTAGTGACAATACAATTCTATCATTGTATACCGAGTGCATTGACCATTGACAATGCACAACCTAGTGAAGACTCGGAACAGCTGTTTTAAATGATCGGGAGTTTTCGGTACAGCGCAGCTCCCGGTAACACCTGCCCCATTTATTGACACAGCTTTGCACTCACACCTGTGTTTTTGTTCTCTTTTCAGCAGGGAATAAACCTATTGTTCCTTTGCAGCCTACGCATGCTGACGCAGCTCCCCACCTGAACTAGTTCTAGACTAGCTTGATAATCTTTCATTTTAAGGAGCTTTACAGACTAAATTGCAGAGAAGTAAGACTGTACAGCTGCCCCAGAAAAATATAGATGTGAATTATTGGCTTCTTTTAAGTAGCCTAAACTTAACCTAGAACAGCAGCAGGTTCAGGTACGGGTTTGTTTGACGCAAAACTTGAGCGAAGCTGACGGGCGACACGTTCAGCACTTGCGCCTGCGTGCTGCGATCAGGACTCAGTCCCGGAAGACAGGCGGAGTGCGGAAGAGCGGTGCTTTCTGGGAAGTTATACATTAAAGATGGCGGCGACCATTGGACGGATGAGTATTCGCCTCAGAGCTGCTGGAGGTTAGTTGGAAGGTCTATTGCAACATGAAGTTTTCAAAAGAAGGGGTCATTCGGTACATTTTGTTTGGTTGCTGGCATCTAAGTGATACAAGGGTCTTATCCAGACGTTTTTAGAAGCCAGGATTTAGCTTGGGCAGCATAGTCAGCTTAAAGAGTCAATGAACTTACTTTGCCATGAAATTCACACACGAATAATTTAACTGTTTTTTTTAACATAAGGTAGTCTTGAGTTTAAGTCATTAGCAACCCAAAGGAAGGAGTTTCCACTTCTGCACTGGCAAGAGTTATCTTGAAAGGAAACAGCGGTCCTAACTTCTCCGACCTGTTATTAAATCTCGGAAACAAAATTAATTTACGGGATCGCAAACATTTTATAATTTACAAATCAAGCACAAAATCGTAAAGCGTGTGAAAGTACTTTACGGTCTCCATTTTTTTTCAAACCACTAGTCTCGCCACGGACGAAAACAAGAGCTCATGCAAGTTGCTATTTGAAGCGGTGAATCCTGCTCATTAACTTGAACTTGAACTTTATTGCTATATGTAACCGGTACATATAACTGGTACAATGGAATTCCTTCAGAAAGTCTCTCGATTGTTAAAGTGTAAAAACTCAAAGTGCAGACTGCATCAAGACAATATACAAACAGTAGGCAATGTACAAGTAAACATTACAGACGTGTAAACGATGACTCGAGATGTGCAATACACAAGAAATTATAATAAGGTAGATGGTGTAGGTGTGGTCCGAGGGGCATTGCTAAATGTGTTCGCTAGTCGCACTGCTTGTGGGTAGAAGCTATTGAAGAATCTGGTGGTAAGTGTCTGTATGCTCATGTGTCTCTTGCCTGAGGGCAGTGGGGTGAAGAGCTCATGGCCAGGATGGTGACTATCATCTGTAATGGCCAGAATTCTACCACGGCAGCGGTCCTCATAGAGCTGTTTAATCTTGGTGAGACCACAGCTGGTGATCTTCTGGGCCACATTCACCATTCTCTGCAGTGCCTTTCTCTCTCGAGAAGAGGTGTTGCCATACCACATGGTGATCCCGTTGGTGAGGACTCTCTAGATGGTGCAGCGGTAGAAGTTCACCAACACAGGTACTGGCATCCCCCATCGCTTGAGGTACCTCAGGAAATAAAGGTGCTGCTGAGTCTTCTTCAAGATAATGTCCACGCTCACTGTCCAGGTTAGGTAATTAGAAATGTGAATTCTCAAAAACCTAAAGCTGGTGACTTTTTCCACTTCCATCCCATCAATACTGAGTGGGCTGTGAGTGTGCAGCCTGTGTCTCCGAAAGTCCACTATTAGCTATTGTGTTTTATTCACATTCAAGTCCAGGATATTGCTATGACACCACCTCAGCAGCTGTACCACCTCACCCCTGTAAGTGGTCTCGTCATCATCAATGATCAGGCCTATTACAGTGGTGTCATCTGCAAACCTAATGATGTGGTTGCTGCTGTGTCTTGCTGTGCACTCGTGAGTGAACAGGGAGTACAACCTTGGACTCAGCAGCCTTATGGCATGTACAGCTCAATAAGCACATGTAGATGCCTTTCATTTTATTTTCAGGCGCATGTAAACTCTTCACAAAGAAGATTCTCCAGAGACCTCTGCTCTCGGCACCAGCTGTTTCCATGCCGAGTCCCGCTCTCGTCCTGCAGACCTGGAAGCACTTCCATTGTCATCATGGAAGTACGCTGAGGTGTTCCAGAACAGATCCCGGAATGCCAGTGCACGGCCAGCCGGAGTACATTCCCAAACGCAAGGCCAAGAACCCCATGATGAAAGTTGGGCTCGCCTGGTAATAACTTGCATTATTGTGGAAGCTCTGCAAAGCTTTTTGAGACAACTCTTGTTTTTCTTCTACATGTACATGTGGTGTAGCGGATAAGCTTTGTCAAAATCGTTATTAGGTTTGACGTGTCCCTGTTTGTTTTTAATTTATGTGCAAACGGTTTGGAGTTTCCTCCTTTGGCAATTTGCACTTCATATATAAATAGCATGAAGTGCAGTGAAGCTGTGCTTATAGACTATTGCTGTGTGGTCTGATGGCTTCCTTTCATTTGTAAGCTTTTTACGTTCTGAAGTTTGATCTTTCAAACTACTGGTTATTTAATATAATCAATTTCATATATTGTGCATGCTTTGAATCATACATTGATTTCTTTCATTGTTGTGTTGATAATTTCAATCTTAATTATATGACGAAGCTTTCAGCAGTGCCTTGCCCCTTTAGACTAGTGCTACAAAACAGTTAAACAACAAATGCATTATTGTTTTTCTACTTAAGGAAAATTGCAGATCTTTTAAATCTGTCATTCTATAAAATGAGATGGAGATCTTTAATAAAAGCAGATAATGAGGAAAGATGGAATGTTTTCAGTTTCTGAAATGCATTGGCATTTACACACATTTCTCTTTGCTTTATTTTTAGGATCATTGGCTTGCCATCGGGTATAATCACATTTCTCCTTGCAAAGAGAGAAGTAGATAAGAACCGCTTAAAACAACTGAAAATTCGGCAGAGGATGAAGGCTGCAAACGAAGGAGACTATGACAGTGAAAGATACAAAACAGCCCAGAAAACTCAATAACCACCAACACAGTTTGAACACTGTTACAAGTGTTATAGCCCCTTCCTCCTCAATACATACTGAACTTGTTTTCAAAAAGCTAATTTCTTACTGTTCAAAAACCTTTACAATAACCACACTACCACTATTGTAGAACCCTGTCTATGAGAGCTAATTAATCACACCTCAAAAATGGACAAAGTATTAAACTTTCCTAATGTGACTACTATATCAAACCTTTAGTAACCACCCTTCAAACTACCTGTGAAGGACAGGTGTTTTCCCAGACATGACACACAATGCAGTTAATGCTGTGTTGAAGTGTAAGCGTTTTTGGTTACAGAAACTAAAAAAGAAATGTGGAGTTTCTTTTCACAGTATGAAACAGATATCATTGAATTTCTAAACTCTGAAAACTTATCTGATGGGAATAGTATGTGTGAGATGCAGAGGTTAAGGTAATGTGCTTGTGACAGTATCAAGGGTTCATGGTTCAGATGCTGGTTGTGCCACAGACTGTTCCGAGCAAGTTACTGAACCTCAGTGGGGTCTACTCTTTGGTGAGGCGTTAAAAACAGGGTTGCCTTATTGTATACAGGTCTGTAGAGTTTGTTGCTGCCTAATTTTTCACACAGTCTCTGCACTGCTTTGAATAAATGTCTGTTAAATATCTTGGTATTATATATTTTTCTTGGGGAAAAAAATGGGATGGAAAAATCAATAATGCATTTTTACAAATATTTATTAAAATGATAGGGTTTAAGAATTCATTACGATTTCTTATATATAATTGTTTCTATTTTAATTAGGACAAGCTAAGAACAAAAACATGAATACAAGACAGTAAAGCTTCAGTAGCACATAAAATATAAAACATATAGATGGTTTTCTTAAATGCATTTTATATGGATGAGATCAACACATAGCATGTAGAACAGAAGCACAAACAGTAAAACACCAAAATCAAACCTTAATTATTAGCCCCTACTAAAAATACTGGATAAACATAATGTACAGTATGTCTTAATACTAAACTCGGGTAAAATATTTATTGAGTACCCCTCTATATAGAAGCAATTGTAGTATGTAAACTCTGTGGTGCATTTATACCTCGTATAACAAAATAACTCTTCCACTGCTGTTTAAATTTAGCCATCATTGTTGGCTTCTTTTGTTAAATTCCCTTTTAAGAGCAAATGTGATCAATTTTTATAGAAAAGACCCCTGACCTTTCAACCACATTAGATGTCCAATTAAAATAAGCATTCAAAAGATGGCATCAAATCAAAATGCAAACATTCTATTTTATGTAACATAATGCTGCAGTAAATTGACTAACAAATCTCAACGGAAAAAACAACAGACCTAGCATAATTCTTCTGAAAAAATAACTATAAAATGACATTTTAAGTTATAATTGAATAGAATATCTACAAAGTTCTAATAACCAATATTAACCTATACAAATTCACACTTGGTATAAATGTAAATTACCAGATGACCTTTGAACAGGCGATTTAGAAAAACAGCTTAGGTATACATCTAGCAAAAGTAAACACGTCTGCTTTGTTATGGCTGCGTTGCAGCCCACAGCTGGATGGGCCTGCTGTTCTCATCGCGAGGACCCGATCAGCTGCAGCAGGAACAGGAAGATCTGGACGATGTCGATGTAGAGTGACAGAGCCCCGAACACGTACTCCTCAGGGCTGATGGAGTGCTTTCGGTTCCCTATGAGGAGCTGGGTGTGGTAGGCTAAGAACTACAGTTAAAAAGATTTTTTAAAAAGTCACCATCTGCAGAATGAATCAAAGATACGCCTCACCCTATTTTACTGCTTCTAGACAAAAGAAGTAATGCATTTTGGTGACTCTGATGGGACTTGATTCGAGTATTCAAATCCTCAAAGGCATAGACAAAGTTAAACTGAGTTCAGAATCACCTGAACTTAAAACACACATCAGAGGACACAAGGGGAAAGTGAGCAGAAGTGCATTTAAAGCTGAGAACAGGAGACACTTTTTTTATACACAGGATTGTGGAACAGGTTACCTAGACAGACTGCTGAAGCCGATACCCTGGTTTCTGTCAAGCAAAGGCTGGGTCAGATCAATTAGCTGCAACCATATGGGCTAAACAGACTGAATAGATAGTCTGCACTAATTTCTCATGTTTTATAAATATTTTTCTGTACTATCGTGATGTATTTCAGGAGAAACAAAACAGTCCCTTACCAAGGTGTAGGCGATTGCTCCGATCGCTGCATACAGCATGTGTAGCCATGGAATCTGAGGAATCGGATACAACAAGGGTCAAACTAGGGTTCAAGATGTACACATCACCAAAAAAGGCATATGGCACAGGAGGGTAAGCAGAATTCATAAAGCAAAAAATACAGTTCTTGTAATGGTAGAAATATTCTTTGCTCTTGACAGGGAAGTCTAGCACAGACAGAATTTGCTTGAGTTGTACAGGATACTGCCATCGTTGTATTTTGCTGTAAAACAGCACTCACATATTTATAGGAAAGCACGATTGTGGTGATGATCCCTGTAACGAAGACAACAATCCCCAGCACACAGAACAGGCCTCCGCAGGAAGTGAAATCAACCTGACAGACAACACAGGAGTCTGTTAATCAGAGAGGCAACACTCCCCTGTGCATTTGCTCAGTCTCCTGAAGTCACCTTTGAACTGACCAGTCTGCTTTAAATCGGTTTGGTTGAATACCTGAGTATTCCCTACATATAAAAAAAAAAAAATGTTAACGACTGTCATTTTTTTAGAGGACATCTACTTGTAAAACTTTCTATATCGATCAGAACCACTCCTGAATAAGGAAATGACAAATAATTGTGAGCCAAAACTAGTTATTCTCTAATTATTTCCCAGAAATATAAGTCAATAGCTTTTTCCCCAGTCTCTCAAAGTAACTAATTTTCATTTTTCTTTATATAGGCACTACATCCACCTTGGGGGAAAAAAAAGCTGTTTTGACATGCAATACAGGCCTTAGATATGACATTAATAACATTAGAGTGAACCTGTGATGAAACGTGATGAGAACCCATCTGCTACTGAGGACAAAGGAATATTCATGTGAAGCAGATTGGCAAGCGCTACCGTTTCCCAATACTGCCCACAGCAGGACAGCAGGAACGACTGTTCTCTGTGCCAAAGTTGGCACAAGACACCACAGCATGAAGCAGACAGGGTGGTCGTTTGACACAAAAAAAACCTCTGTTCTTCCACAGTGCAAAAAAATATTATTTATTTTGGACAGTATCTGAACATTTTGACTATTTAACTCAGGGTTTTGTTGTGGATGGGGGAGGGGTGCACTCTAAACCTAATGTGATGGACATGTAAAAATGTATTTTACACCCTACATTTGCAAAAGGAAAACTGATCCTGACAGAAAAGGAAAAACCTCTACTTGCTACCAAAAAAAGAAAGTAACTGTCACTCAGGACAACTGAAATAAAATTAGACAACACTCCAGAGAGTGGTACTTGGAATTTAATTGATTAAGCTACATCCTATATGTTAAATTTCTAACCGATAGTCCTTTGTGTTCTGATCAAATATCCTTTTACCTTTGTCTGGAAACAGAACACAGTGACGATGATGCAAACAATCGCAGTTATTCCAAGAGCAAGAAACACGGCTTTTGTGTTGTAGTAACTGCAAAGGAACAACACGCAGAGGTGAAGGTGAAGCACTGAAGAGTCTGTACCTCTTCCTACACAGGCCTGAAACATCCTCCGATTTCAACAGGCAGGTTATTTCACGCCAAATAGTTTCAAACTGGACTGGCAGCTGTGGTTCAAAAATATCAGCCTGGCAAACTGAAGATGTTTGCCTGCTTTCTAAAAATAACACAGCTGACCTGGCAACATTGTTTCATCTCATAAGAGCACAAATGTTGAGATGAAAACTGATTTTTTTTAAATAAGTTAAAAAATCATCACTGGACAAATATGCAATATATAATAAAAATATTTTGCTTCATGAGAATTTATTCCTAAAAATAAATACATTTTTAAAATGACAAATGTTATTGAGAAACACGAGTCTTTTCTCTTAAATCGGGTACAATCATAACGTATATTCTGAAACATTTTTGCTATAATAATACATAAAAGATCTTCAAGGCTAAAAGTGTTTATTATGCAAAATCTAATATTGCTATAAGCACATTATTTTAATAATACTAGCTATTCTTACAAACCTTGAAATTGTTCCAGTCATGTAAGACAAAGCAAGTGTCTGTAAAACAACAAAATAGAACTCATTTGAATACCTTAAGTGCTTCATTGTGTATTTCATTAAACATGACTGTTCTGTTAAACAGTAATTACATTCAAAACTAATGAAATGTATAACCCTGAACTTGAACACTCTAATACACACAGGAACAAGAACAGGTTAATGGCATCATATTCCTACTCTCCCCCTCACTTCCCCTTATACCTTCTTTCTACAAGGGTGGAATTAACCTCTACTTGTTCCTTTGCAACTAGCATGCTGACGGGACCCAACTCTAACCTCCATGGAAATATCTGTATATATTTATGCTAGATAAATTAATAAATGGATTAAAATGTGGGGAATTGGATTCAGTATCTTATTAGGTGCCACTATTTTTAATTTAGAATAAATCAGGAATGAGTTAACAAAACCATCACAAATAATTTCTTTTTAAAAGAATGTGTATCCCTGGGATATTAGTGAAGTTCAAGTAGGCAGCTATGTCAGCATGCATAGGCTGCAAAGGACCAGGTAAAGGTTTATTCCTGCTGAAAAGAAAAGAGACGCAACACTTCCACTGTGGAGTCTTTCTCGGGTATGAAGAAGGCTCCACCTCTTTTCTTTTCCGCATAGAATAAATTAATATGTTAGGACACATTTGGAAACTTCTCTGCATCTCCACGTTACATACTGTATATGCAGTGGTATGTAAAGTTCCTTCCTAAAATTTTGCAAAGGAGACATTGTTTTTCACACCTTTCAATAAAGGTTAGAAACAAAGTCTAAACTGTGATTGCTCAGCGGAGCTGCTCACTTTCTCACTAGGAGAAGGTTCTGAATTCCAGATATTCTCTCACTGTTCTACATCACAATAACTTCATGAGGTGGTGCTTGGGTTTGGCAGCCATGTGTCCCTGCACTTACAGCTGCGGCATGACACTTCCCAGCGAGCTTAACACATTCAGCTACACCTCCTGTTTCTCCAGCTGCGGGTACTTACAAACACAACCAGCAGGATTATATTCCAAGGGAAGCGTCTCCTGGAAAGCAGAAAAGTCTATCAGTACAACACAGCCGATTTAATTATGCGCAATGAAACTCCAGTACTGTCATGTTCATGGATAACACTTTCTTACCTGGGTCCCTTACAGCAAGCCAGGACAAGATATGTCACCATGAAAACCGCGCTAGAAAAGAACATGCGAGCTTAGTTATAATTAAGGCCACTGACAGAATGAATCACGCTTTAAAAACAGTTCTTTTGTTAGGAGCAGGCAAGAGACAGAATGTTTTGAGAAAAGCAAACTAGTTAAAATATTAAGTGGCAGTAATAAGCAATATCCACCGGTGCGCAAAACCGCTGTGTGCGCAAGGCTAGAATGAGCAGTGCATTTTTTCTGTGAACTAATTTTACTTCTATTAACATTTTCCAGAAACATAACATACAATACATAATTTAAACACCCGATCTTAAAACGTAATCATATTTGGACCTTCTGAAAATGAGTAGGAAGGTGTCCATAGTTCCCAATGGACACCGGAGTGGTGGCACTGTGGCTCAGGATTTGCACCTGTGGCTGGAAGGTTGCCGGTTCAAATCCTGTGGCCGGCAGAGGAATCCTACTACCTTGGGCCCCTGAACAAGGCCCTTCACCCCAGCTGCTCCAGGGGCGCCATATAAATGGCTGACCCTGGGCTCTGACCCCCAGCTTCTCCCCGTCTGTGTGTCTCATGGAGAGAAGCTGGGGTATGCGAAAAGACAAATTCCTAATACAAGATTGTATATTACTAATAAAGTGATCTTATATAAGGAACTGGGGATAAGTTTCATACAAGAACAACATCTATGATGGGTCAAGTATGGTCCAAAAAAGTAATAAATGAATAATTTGATGATTAAGACCAGTAGTATTCCAAGATTTACAGTTCATTAGTCATCATTTTTTCTGAACTTGTTGATCAAGTTAAGACTGTGCGAATTTTAAAATGTTTTTTTTCAAACTATGTTTTCAATAAATGATAAACAGTATGGTCAAGTCATTAATAACACAAAACAAGAATGCTTACTAGGATACCCAGTATAAAGCTGAATTGTTGACAACAAACTGACGAACTGGAATACTGTAAAACAAAAATGTGAGAGAAAGAATCAGAATTCGGGTAGTAAGAAAGTTAATCAAATACATTGATTTAAATTTTCTCTGTTGTTGATTTATGTAAATTCTAATAACACACTTTATTTTAGAGGAAACAGCAAGCTTCAGATCCTATAAAGCACATAATGGGTTTTGTTTACTTAAACCAAGAATCACAGGCATTGAGGTTTCTTAGAAAAGCAGACACACCCACCAAGCCAGAGAGGTAAACTCCCTAATTAAACAAGTGATCCTACTTTCTTTGGTTGCATTAAAAAAGTACATATTTGTATAACTGCAGAAGAACGAGGCGCGCCCATTTTTAGAGGAGAAGAGTGAAGATCTTGGCACCGAGATCCCAGCTTGTCCACTTGCAGGGTTTGCTGAGGATGCCAGAGCTTGTCCCCTTTCTCACAGCTGCGCTCGCTGCAGGCCCTGCACACACCCAAAGCCCCGCAGGAGCTTGTGAACTGAACGAGCTTAGTTTCCATGTCACATGGCAACACAGCAGACTGCACTGGCACACCCTGTTCTGTGGCTCATGACACAGTCTGAATTAACGGAAGTGCAGCAATGAACAGCCAGAGACTTTTCAGGGACCAGCCACCCAGTGTTTAGCATCACATGAAAATTAATTTAAATTGTTGATTTTCTTACTTTGAATAACCATGACATTTTTCCTATTTTCAGTATTTTACAGAATTCTTCTTTCATAAGAAGGGCTGCAGCAGTAGCTGGCGTGTTCAGTTCCACGTGTTTTGTGACCATGAAAGAGATCTGGAACAAAGTCACAAACCCTCAAAGGCCACAGCTGCATTTTCTCACTGGCGTCTTTACATACGCATCAGCGCAAACCCTGTACCTCCGGGCCTTAAAATCTTTCACTCTCTGCACTGCTCTGCGGGCTTTATCTGAATACTAACAAACATCATCTGTAGATAGTGTAGTGTAATGTCAAGACTGTTTTATAATGGTTAGAATTAGCAGACATATTTTCTGGACTCACCAAAACGTAAAGACAGCAACAAATGCAACTGTGACAAGGAGCTGGGCTGCCAGTATGAGGTACACCTGGTGAATGCATACACACCATGAAAAATGTTGGTTATTGAAGACAACACTTATCATTAGTACCTTCATTTTTAAAATGACATTTTTCATATTTAAAATTACATTGAGTTTAATAAAAATAGCAGCTTACTGTTTGAGAAATAGCTACAAGACTAATTATTAAGAAATGATTATGAAAATTAATAAACAAACTGAATATAAGAATGACAGTTAATGGAACAAACAGGTAATAAGAAATGTAGCCAAATAAAAGCATATATAAAAGACGCTATGCATGTATACAGAACCACAGAAACAGGAATGTATTATCCTCTTTTACATGCACTCATGAATCTCCCGTCTCTTCATACTCCAGAGCAACAATCCAAGTATAATAGTTTCACTTGAGTTTAACCCTAATGATTTGTTCTTACTTTTCGGATAAAAGCATGTCGAACGGTTTTGTCATCCCAGTCAGCGGATGTGAATCCCTCAGGGTCTCCTACAGAAGTAGTGCCATATTTATTATTATCACCTACTGTACATGAGCAATTACACATTAGTTATCTCCTGCACTCTTTTAAAACGTTTTAAACGTTTAGGAAGTGGATCAGGGTTATAAAAACAAGTACACCACCCAGCTTCTATGACAGAAAACATTTATAATGCATTAATGGAAGCTGCCATCCAATATTTAATAGAAAAACAAATTTGTTGGAATTGATGCCATGGTCTGACCAGACGTCTTTCATGTTCTCATGTGATTAATTCAAACAGAAGTGGGTATTTTAAATATCTTGTACTATCTAGAAAATGTGACAATGGCATCCTAACACTGGAAACTCCTGGATGAATATCTACTTTGAACGTTGCCCACAGTGCCTGCCACATGCATCTTTAAAATACAGATGGTTGAGATCTGTATTATATCTTGTATCATTTATCTTTTGAATCTGACATTTCAATACAAAATTTTGAGAGTCACTGAATTTCAATGTATTATGCTTCATTCTAGATTAAGCTGACAATTAAAATTTTAAATTCAATAATTATGAAAAGTATGAAAATCTGTTGTGAAGATCCTCCATGCCCTTGTATTAAGTCGCTGACTGCTTACAGAAAATATCCATGTGAAAAAAACATAATATCAGTTGGGCTGAAAAGACCCCTCAATGTTGCATTTGTTTAAACAAACATTAAAAAGGCTACATGTGACTGGGACATTCAGAACTGAAAAGTTTTTTTCTGCACGTTCCTTCGCTGTTTGTCTAACATTGTGTTACCATAAATCTAATCAATGTAAGAAAACAAATCTAATAAAAATCAATTACGAAGCATTATTTCAACTAAGACAAAGCATTCTCAGCATCTATAAAACAATCTTTGAAGTTTCTGATTATGGAGGACTTAGAGTGCAGTGAGATTCAGTATTCTGGGTTGAGCCACGTTTTGCTTCTTAACAGAAGCTAATACTTAAGTTTGAGCTGGACTGAATACAGTGTCTCCGGGGTACACTTCTAAACAAAACATGATTTCTATACTTGTTCTTTAACAAATTCATATCTGGAAATAAAAGCAATAATAATTGTTACACAATATGGCAATTTATCCCCCTTTTTGTTGCACTATCTTCACAGGGGAGCTTGTTGAAAACTCAGTGAAATATGACGGGATGGATTCGGAGTCGGATCCTGAGATCCCGAGCAGTGTGCCGCCCTTACCTGGGTTCATTGCGGAAGATGGCATCATTGGAGGAATTATTGGAGGCATTGG